TCGATGCTGTCATCTACAGCCGACTCAGCGAAGTGTTCGATGTGGAGCTTGCTCCGGTTATCCTAGATGAAACTTCCGAGGATGGTGAATGGACGGGGGAGGTGTTTGTCGCGTACAAAGCTTTCGTTGGCGAGAATAAAGAGGATGGGAGTCTCAGCACAGAGGAAAGAGGCATTATTGAATTCCATTTGAGCGCCGTATCGGATATTGTTGAGATCGGCAGGACGGAGTACATCGAGTACACAGGATGTGACCCATATGACCCGCCGGAAGGCAACTGTAGATATTTTGGGGGAGGGATGTTTCTTCGTGCAAAGAATTCCCAGGCATAGTAATAGCACCTAGCATGACAAGAGAAACATTTTACTTCTTTTTGTTGGAATCTGCGAGAGAGTTCGAGCAATCCGGCATTCCGGCATGCCGAGTAAGGAAAGAATCCAAGGGAAATTGAAGGAATTAGGTAGAAACTACTAGGAAAGGTGTAGTCTAGTATAAATATGAGAAGTCAATGGGGAACTCCTCAGGAGTTTGTAACCCAAAGACTAAAGGTCTTACAAGCATGTACTCTGGATACAGTCCAAATCTCAACACTTTTTATATTTTTTTGTCTGATACAATGAACTATTGGGAGCATAGGCACGATCCGGTTCCTCTGACATCATGTGTTAGATTCCTGTAGATTCCCGCTTGTCCGTAGCTATGACTGAGACTATCACTATCTATTGCCGATCCCCTCTCTTGGACCTAGCAATATGGTTCCACTATCAATGCCAAATTGATGCTTAGTCCTTGCATTACATAACACCAGTCCATAGCAGAGTGATATATCATCCACAGTTCCAAACCATAAATGAAAATGTATTAATGAATGCATTCTACTATGATGCAATGATATATACTCTACTGTGCTGCCCAAATTAGGCTTTCACTGGTCACAGGTTACTCTACCCACCCTAGTCACCATTCATGATGATGAGCTCTCATATCCTGTGCCTTGGTTCCTGACTGCTCCCAAAAATGCTTGTTAGATCACACCAGGGGCCAGGCCAGATTGGGCCCACTCAGGTACAAATCTCATAGTGGTACACATATCAGATTCCCAATTTTTCCCACCATAGTTCTCTCTGGTGGGATTTTAGGCATGAAACCTTTGGCAATGTAATCTTTTCTCTCTTATCACTGTAGACCATTCATTTTAGTGATGTTCATATGAATAAAACCTGTGATTTCTATATAAAACATTTATTGAACAAAGGAATGCTTGCTTTCTGCTGTAATACTATCAGTGTCTGTCTCCTCCCTCCAGTGATGCACCCTTGTGTGAGCCTTACACCATTCAATTCTCAAATCTAGGGCCCCATTTATCAACCAATCCACCTCAAAAAGGACCATGATGTATATTCATTTACACTATCAGGCACATCACCAAGATAGAAAGACTAGTATCCATTTGGCACATCTGGCATAATGAATATGACTTGCAGAGAAAGACAGCTGTGATTAGCAGCTGACTATGTGGCCTCTTATCTCAGTTTTTATACCAACATACACCAATTCATGATAGCTTTGAGATGATGCCCAACTTTCACCCAAATGTTGATAGTGAAATTTCTGTCAGATGAAGATCCACACAACCCAATGAATCCATTACTTACACTAATGCTAGTGTTGACTATGATGGTATCCTCAGTCAGCTATCCATGCAAGTATACCACCTCCAAGGAACAACATTGAGCTCATGCTAAAAGTAATGCTAGGTCTTATGAAAGGTATGTAACTCCTGTTTATAGAGCTGCTGCATGTATGCTTAGTTTGAGTCAAAATTAGATAGAAGACTAGTATCAACCAAGGGAGATGCTACTAGTATGGGTTTCCCTCAAGACCAAAGATAGAGTGCTTTAGAAGGAAATAGTGGAGGATGTTGATAAGTATATCCAAGTAATGGCCACATTGCTTTTGATGCAATGTCTTTTTGAGCTCAGAGCTCATTTTTTTTAGACTTTCTTGCTTTCTTGCTTTTCTGCTTTTCTGCTTATGTGTAATTGGTAGAATATGTAATATATTGACTTTCATCTAGTATGTTATATGTAAAAAGACAAACACATTATTTCATCAAAAAATGGACAGGACTGGTGGAAACATGTGATGCAACCCTATTTGGCAAGAGATGGTGAGCCAGTGATTGATCTAGGCACTCAAGGCACTGAGCTAAGTAGACATTAAACAAATGATAGATCTAGACTATCAATATTTATAGATGAGAATTTCTAGAAAGGGTCAGGGAAGAGTTTGGGGTGGACCCTATCATGAGCAATGTGGGACAGATGTGATGATGAGCAAGGTATTTGCTAATTGAAGGGTCACATGACTGGCTGACAGAAGTAATATAACACACAGTTGCATGGTAGGACATGGACTTTAATACATTTTGATTGACAGTTTGGATCTGTCATTTAAATATTAAATCATATGGAGCCCTTGTACATAAAACAAGTGGAACATCTGAATTATACCATGGATTATTGCCCCTATCCTTCATCTCGGTAGTCTTAAAATGGGAGATGTTAGGTAGGTAGGTAGTATTCATGATGTGCCAATAGAAATCGGAAACAATATACTCCGCTCTCTTTGTTTAAACGATGCCCTTGCCGGGCCTCAAAATAATCACATGCAGAAAGCCACGCGCCAATTGACAAAATTTATGCCCATGACGTGCGTTATTCCTATTATTCACACATACATAAATCCGTAGTGCTACTAACTCTCCTAACGACCCCACGGACGGAAAAATGAACTTGAATGGAAGACATGCTCGTAGGAACTGGTCTAAACCACTCAAATCCAAATGTTTAGCATCTGAAACCCCTCGACGGTAGCTTCAATGCTACATTCATCCCAATCTTTGATTTTCCAAAGCTCCCCTAGGAAAGATCAGAGCTTAGTAAAACTATGATCCAGCATGAAGCATACCATTTCGAGCAAAGAATCTGGCACTAAATGCGCATTCGCTCAAAAACGTGGATGGGATTTTACCAATATGTCCCGTAATCTGTGGAATATGCGCTGCGCTATCGAAATCCTCCTGCGAAAACATCTGATAGTCCGTGACTAGCTCAAAGGCCTGGCTAACAGTGAGTGAGTCCGGGAAGACTGAGAGGGTCATAAGTTTCGGCGGGATGCATTTCGATGTATGATTGTATATCCTTCGAGAGAGATGCTCCGTTGTGGCTTCCCAGTGCTGCCATGATATTATTCGTTTTGATGTCTGGAAAAAAATTCATTTTCAGGAACAAGAAATCGGCGAGGAACGTACCATTATGGGCATAACAGCAATCATGAAGAAGCTGCAGCGCTTGAAGTGTCTGCCTTATGATGTGCTTTGCGACCGGAAGAGAGAACACCATGTTCGGTTGTCTGAATCTGAGATCGAGTATGGAAGATCCTAGGACTTCTGTCGCAAAGCAAGTATGGAGTCCAATTTGACTTTGTGTGTCATAGATTTGGTGCAGATGCAGCACATAGGGATATCCTGGGTGATGACAGGAATTCTGAAGTGTTTGCAAGGTCTTCGAATCATAACAGGTCTGACAAGATATGTCCTCAGTAAAATATGTGGTCAGTATCTTGACGGAGGCAAAATATGTCTGAGATCTAGTTCCCTACAGTGACCGCGATTCAGTGATACAAGGTGGCGCACGATTTCACGGAACAGCGCACTCACAAGGCCACAGAGTTGCAGCAGCAGCGTGGCCGAACTGAGGTAAAGCGAGACAGTGTTGTAGTAAAGCAAGAAAAATATTCTTACCTTGCGCACGACCCGGAAATTTGGAGAACGTTGTAGGTATTGGCCAATAGTTACTGGATGATAGCCAAACCCAAAGGCTGGTTGCACAAGGAGCGGTTCCTCGGGGAATATAGCGAGGTATTTGAATAACTTCATTGATCTTGCGCGAGTGAAGAATATTGGGGACAGTAACGGTGTAGGTGCGGTTTTTATTACGAGAATGAACGGCAAGAAGTTATTACCTGATCGGGGGCAATTGTTCCCCACGCGGGATTTTCCGGGATGACCGATGAGAAGTTAAGTATTCGCGCAACGCGTCACCACGGGAGGTCGTTTCTACCTAGTAATTCTAAGAGATGAACGCCTGTATCGTCTTTGCTTACAGGTAATTGAAACACTCATACACATTGCTCATGGCATGAGTAGCGGCGACATCGCCTCTGCACGATCTAGGACCTTCGTCGACCTTGATTCCACCATTCTCTAACCTCTCTCTCACACACATTACGCCAAGAAGCACTCGAAGGATTATTAAGACGTTGATATCCAAAGGATCAACCATCAACCTGTTAGCCAAATTTGTTTAGGAAATCTCCAGATCTACTGCTTGACACCAGTATTACGAAGTATGAGCTCTCAAACATGGGAACGACCGTAAGTCGGGATAATTACCTGAACGAAAATTACAAGGAGAGATGGTCTCTGCAGCGACGAATAGTAATGTCTGTATATCAATGGCTGGCAGAAGTAGCAATGTCATCCATGTTGATACTGCCGTTTTCAAGCTGTTTTCGCCGAAGGTATTATTGAAACTCCGAAAACTGTCATAGAGGGAGCCTTTCTCCTCAGCTTGGAATCGAGCTTGTGTATGTCCATTGGGATTAACTCGTGGCAAGTCACATACAGCAGCGTGTCTGGCTCGAGACAAGGAAAGGCAGCAAAAAGAGACTTATGTTCAGTGACTGGAGCAGCAATAAATGCTGGGGCAGTAGGCTGTGGGTTAGGAGCTGGTTGAATGGGTTGTTGAGTGGTTGTGTGTGACAGCAGAGTGCCGAGCATCTGCATAACTTGTTCTTGGGTATATGTAGGCTGAACCAGGGCTGGAGGACTTGAACTGGAAGGTTCTATGGAGTCGGCAGTGCTGGACATGGTGGGATCTGGGGACGAAGAGGAGGTGAAGGAGGTGATGTCGAAAAAATGATTGGGGTTGTCTGATGAGTCAAGCAGCTCACACCAGGCAGCTGTGTGAAGAGAGAGTTCCAGTGAGGTTGCTGAAGCTGGTGGTGTTGAAGCTGGGTTTGCATCCAGTGCTTTGAGGGATTCTAGAGGAATCTTGTGATGAGATATGAACTTGCCATTCTTCCAGTAAATGACAAAGCCTTTGGACTTAATAACACAAGTGTACACTAGTGAAGCAATGGTGTCCAGAAGTGACAGCCAATGCTCAAAGGCTATTGAACTAATCAAGAACCAGTGTGAAAAGCAATGCTGATGCTCAGAGGCAATCAAGCTGCAATGAGATGATGATGATGAAAGGATGTGAGAGGAGTTGTAGGGATGAGCTCATTTATATGAGTGAGCTGAGCGGCATGAATCAGTAACATAGTGGCAAACTTGTCACAAAAGACAATGGCTGGCTCATTGCATAGACCTCAATCAAAGGTCTTTGACCGATTCAAGGAAATGGTGGCCTACAAAGCTTTGGATGATGATGATGATGATGGACATGCGAGGAAGGACGCGAAAAGCTCCATTTGAACCATCTTTCGGATATCGTGGAGATTAGCAGGGTAAAATATGTTGAGCACAGGGGTAATGAAGCTCAGGCGGCTGACTGCAGATACTTTGGAGGAGGAATGTTCCTTCGTGAGAAGAGTTCGGAAACGTAGGAGATCTTGTGACATTATTTATATACAGTATTAAGACAAGATTAAATGTAGTACTAGCATCCAAAAAGCATCTTTCGATTCTCCTCGACCGCTAGTCGGAACAAGAACGCTGAGCTCGCGTGAAAGACATTCGTAAAGCCATACTCGCTTCGCCAATGGACTACTCATCCCACCATGGATAGAGAAGACAACGAATGTGTCTGGTCAAGGTATAGGCTACATTCCCATATTCGTCGGCGATGAAAACACTGTTTCTCATTGATATAACTACATTGTTCCAGTGAGCATGGAGACACTACGCAGTACCGCTCGAATTAATGAAACCTCCCATCCCATCGAAATCCAATTCCCATCATCCCTCACGAAATCCCATTACTTGAACCTGACATATACGACGGCGGAGGCTCATTAGTATACCCCAGAGCCCACGCCGACCTCTGCTGCTCCATCAAATACGTCATCTGTCTCTCCAGACTCGCAATCTGCTGCCTTTGCCGCTCGTTCTCCTCCATCAGCCGACCCTCAGTCTTGTTCTGCCGCAAAATCGCCACCTGCGCCTGTAATCCCTCCGCTCGGTCGCGTAACATCGCTTGGCGTACCGTCAGCGCTGCGTCACGAGGGACCTCTGATGCGGATATTTTGGATGGCATCATTGTCGATGTCGGTGTCGTTGTGATGGTATATGGCTGCGCAGTGGTAGTATAATACGGTTGCTGATCTGGGAATGCCTCATTCGAGGCGGCGTCTCTCCTTCGATATAAACAAATGCTTATGCCCGTCATGATCGCGACTAGCCCCAGAGAGCCACATACGCTTCCGGCAATGATGGCAGTGCGATTGGATGTGCTCGCTAATGGTGAGGATCTGTTCAAGATGTCGGTGAGCGATTTTTTCCAGTAGAATGATGAGAACTTACGACGGTTCTGGAGTGTCGCTTGGTATCGGGACGCTGAGAGCAGGAAGAATTAAATCTTGTATTCGGTTTATGGGTAAGAGGAAAGACCACTCACATACTTCTTGCGGTAGGAGAGCTAAATATAGTGGATGGAGCAGATGGGGTTGCCGACGTGCTGTAGATCGTGAAGATGAAACTGAAATTTCAAAATAAATTGTGACCCACGTTTCAGTGTTTGTTCTGGAGAAAAAATAATGAATCAGTTCGCGACTCCAGATCAGATGGGGGGAAAGATCTTCACTCTTGTACCGCTGTATTAACGACGAAATTGAGAGTGAGCATGTCTCTGGAAGAGCATCTGGGTTTGAGGCTGAATGCCGCCTTTAGCTTGATCACTCACTGAGGAGTCTGTGAATCGGTGGGCTGGACACTAATTATATCACTAGAACCGAGAATATCTCTTGATGAATTCGTCCTACCACAAATGACTCAAGGAAGGAAAAATAAAAGGGTTTAAAACGAACGTTTGGTTTGCCGCGATCTGCATCGCCTCAGCAATGTACGATCTGTATGTTAATTAGAAAGCAGTGAATGAAGACCCCTCTAGAGCGCTCACCCTGCAGTGAAAAATTCGACAAAAAAAGCACCCTTTGTCTCACCGACACCCCCGAAGATACACCAATACGGGACAGTCTCCGTCGAAGGAAGCACGTCAGGTTGTCTCAATCGGAAACCAAAACCAGTTGTTGTACTATCGTCGTCATTCCTCGTCCATGTAACGGTGGCAGAAGTGTTCACCACGGCGGTGCTGTTAAAATTAAATTGCCATGACGCGGCATGCGACGCAAAAAGAATGCTTTAGGGATCGTCTCAGAGAGCGTTAGAGGAGAGAGAAAGAGACGTAAGCTTACAGGGACAGTGGTATGGTGAGCATCTTGGGTGAAGAACGGTCGTCAAAGGCAGGGCGGCATCGCACACAGCACCGGTAGATATGCGTCGTGATGAGCGACGATCATCTCACTCGAACCCGGGTGGAAAGGGTGGGGATCAGATACAGATTAAAATCAGCAAACAAAGGCGTACTAGTTGAACAGGGAGATCTTTAGATGGTATATCTGCACTTCCATGGTACGTTGCATCACGTTATTTCCCGGAACTTGGGACCGAGGGATATGTGAAGATCAGAAGCTGTTGCCTTGAACTGACTAAAGTGATGTTATGCGGACCGGTGGAGACAAAAAGCCACGGGTCCCTGAACAACTGGTGAGATAAGACCTTATTCTTAACGAATATACAATCTCAGGACCGGGTAAGATGGTCACCAGACTGCGACTCATTCATTGATGCTAGCCATTGTAAATGTCGGATCCACGTCCCACATTGATCCACTCAATAGAGAAAAATGGTAAAATTTCAAGCTCAGACGAAGTCGAAGATGAATATGAAGGTCAAATAAAGGTCATGCTGCGAGCCAGCTGATAACGGAAGCAGGGTCGTGGATCACGGGGAAAGCCGCAGCGGCGCCACAATTTTCCGATTCCGTTTCCTCGTTTCGACTTTGACGACTTGGCTTCAGGTCATAAGAACTGATGGATTGTTTCTTGCGATGTATTTTTCGACGTAATTTATCCTTCTGATCTTTCGTTGAGGTTTGAAGACACTTTATTCTAATTATATTTCTCAGCTGCCAAGTAACCCAACGGCGTACTCTCCCCCGAATGTCACGTGACTTGGATGTCCTTACTCATGGCATTCGGTGACCTCTAACGTTTTATAGTCCAGCAGGTTTCTTCCTCGCTCACGTTCAAGTCAGCCATTACTTTGAACGCTTTTTAAACAATACCAGAAGCTATTCGGACCAACAGTACTCAAACATGAATCTTCTAAGTATACTTCCTTTTGTATTCAGTCGCAGAAGCTGGTGTTATCACTGTGATTCGGTCATTCTTTTCTATATGTGACTCTTCACACAGAGGTCTCACGGGTACCCCCCCGGGCCAGCTAGCTAAGAAGTACTTCATTCCTCCTTACACTGCTGACATATTTACCCGTGCTATCGCTATAACGACGGGATCTAGATCAAATGCTCATTAAACCCATGCGTCATTCCCTCCCGCTGCAATTATGCGATGTAGCTATACCACAGACAGAGCGTACACTGACTCTGCTAGCGTCTTGGGGTTCGAACCGATGCCGAACTACAAGTCTTCAATTTCCACGTCATTCTCTCTTGTCACTTCCCATTGAATCTGGGTCTGCGACAGTAAATTCGTAAGTCTTCTTCTATTGCAGCGTAGATTTGTACGGTGACCAGTATACCGAAAAGAAAAAACAGTATACTAAAAGCATACTGGTCGCATAGTTGGCCCCTTATCCTACAGACTACAACTCACTTCAGTCTATAAAAGGGTAGACTTCTAATACAGCCGTCATGTTTAACCACGGGGCTGCGAAATTTTCAAGTCCATTGGAACATAGGTTTCCCTCCCCTTTTTTTCCCTCTGCATCATCAACGGCTTCTGGTTGACAGATTTACTGGAAGCAGTACGTCTTGTTTCGTATTGTAGAACATGTTCTTTTGAATTTTGAAGCTCATAACGGAACCCTAGATACTTCCGTTGATACAATAATCTCGGAGCTCCATTAGGGTTTTACGGTGAGAAAAAAATCTCTAGATTCCTTTACTAAAGAAAAAAAACAAATGGTTCATTGTGCCCCATGGCTGAGTTGGTTACAGCGTCCGACTGTTATTTAACTGATCGAAAGACATAATCGGAAGGTCGAGAGTTCGAGCCTCTCTGGGGCAGTAGAAATTATTTTTATCATTATCCTTTTCACCTAACAGTTCATGTTTGGGAAACCATTTTGACCCAAGGCGAGTATTTTTTGTTGGTAGTTCTCTCTTGACCCCTCCTATTCAGTGGAATATCTCAAACGAACACAAAGTGATGCTAAGGAGACAGAGCACATACTGCCTCATCCCGAAGGGACTTGAAAAAACCGGAAGACGAAAATCCTAATTTTGATATGGCCGAGGTCGGCCCGTAATCAAAATTCTAGACATGTTATCCGGCCCACCTGGAACCAAGAGTTTGCCATCTGCTAAAAGTCTATGCAAAATGGGAACTTTCATCACGAGTTTAAGGTATTCTTGCATCTTTGTTTTCAGAACTGTTTTACGTTCTAGTCTAATATCTTACGTTCCGGGCACAATTCAAGCGCTTCTTTAACCTATAGTAAGGCTACTACATACCACTAAGTCTTGTTTTTCACCAAAATCCTTATGTATAAGCAGGTAAATATGATGTTCCCAGATTTCTGCGTTCCCCGCTACTTCATATTTGGGCTTTCATTGCGAGCGCATCATTTTCCGCATAAAGGACGACATTGAAAGCATTTGCACGGTCCGGTTCCTCCGCGATCCCGTGCAGTATTTCCGTAGATTTCCGTGTGTTTGTAGCTAGACCCGCGACTATCACCAGCTGTATTGCATTCCCTGTCTTGGACCTAGCGAGTCGGTTTCAACATCAAAGGGGGGCAGTGCTGGAGCCTCATGGCAAGGTAGCCTGAAATTGAGAGCACATGCAATAATGATATGCTCGTTGGGTAACGGAAAATGAAGCATGAACCAGATGGATGTCCGCTGTGTATCGGCTGTCCTCATCATGTGCCATCCTCGAATGCTCCCATTGCTTCGTATCTTGTAATAACGCTTTCTTATGTTCGGTAACCCCAGCCGTCGCTTATACTTCATTTCCTTATGACGACACCAGCATTCCAAATTCCAACTTTGTTGAGCTTAGGCTCGTCTACATCTCGACCCTCGGCAGAGCGGTATCATCGTCACCGTTACACAACACAGCACTACTTGACGCAAGTATGACAGTTGCTTTTTCATCGGGAATCATTCCAACTCCACAAGGGCGTTCAGTCGCCATTCCCAAGCGTGGGCATCAGCGCCGCTTGAAAGTGGGACTCATACGGTGATCTATGCGCTCACAATCTTATCAGTACATGTCCTCAGACTGGTCGTTCTTCACCTCACTACAACCGTCCATACATTTGCACAGTGGACGAAAACCACGATTATATCACCTTGCTGGTTATCAAAACGAACGATGAACTTTGCCGAGAGTCCGCTATTTCACCGATTCTCCGATTTATACGTCGAGCACATGGCATGACTGAATGAGAGGGACGGAGTGACTTGGGAGTGCGGGACCGGGTCGTCTTAGCGAATCCCAATTGGGGGGGGATCGGGTACCTGTCTTCGAAGCGCATTCCTCGACGCTTCTTAACTCCATTGCCGCACCCTCCGTTCACCCGCATTTCTTAGAAGAGGATTATTCTCTCGGCAGGTATGAAACATTCTTAGAAATTTGCTTTCTAATAATTGAATACAGTAACACGATGCTCGCTCCCCTATACGAGAATGCCTTCTCTCAAAAAAATACGTAACCGGTGCCGGACGCGAACGTGTGGGAACAGGTAGAACAGTACTACCCATACGGAGAGGTCTTTTTATAGTTTTTTCTGCTATTTTACGGTTCATGCAGTGCATGCTCCAGTCCTCTAATGGTCACTTGTTCATATTTCAGCACGGGTCATCCAGTCTCCGGGCCAGGGCACGTCTCGAAACACGAGGGTTTTCCTCGGGGAACAAGAATTTTTCGCCCTGCACAATGAAATGCATAAGCCGAGTTGTTATTTTTATTTGTGATAGCCACCACGCAGTTCGGGGTAGAATGCTTTAAATTCGTGCATTCACTGTCGAGATGCTCCTCGAGGTACACCATGTTTCTCTCGCCCTTCCTTATCCTTGCTTCACTCGTTTATACCACCCTGGCCCAGCAGAGCAATACAAATCCGACAGTCGATGGTAATGAAGATGATGGCTGGCAGAGTTTCCCGGATGTCGTTGATGCTACCGGGTATCCTCGCTGGGTTGTCGATGAGGACCTCGGTGCCTACTTGGTACATTCATTTTTTTCTGCTTGCAATAGCAGCTGCTGAAGCTCTCTGTAGCCTGTGTATCAAACGTCTGGTTTGAATACGACGGAGGTCACAAGGGCAGTCATTGTCCTACATGGAAAGGTGCGCTGGATTCTAATTCGGCCTCCAGAATTGCTGATTTGTTGACGCTGTCAAAAGCCTCGGGACTGCTGGTATTGTGAGCGCCTTTCATCGCTTCTTGCCTGAGGCGCTGACGATCTTCCGTTAGATTTCAATGCGATGAACAACGCGCTTTACAACGCCACTTATGACGACCCAACCATCATCCGAGAACATATATCCATTATGGGCCCGTGTTTCTTCGACGAAGACGATCTAAGCGCGGGAGCGGCTGAAGAAGGTCAGCTCCTCTGGGGAAGGACGACGTGGATCAGTGGGCATACGAATGTAGCACCTGACTCTATATCTGACTATAGCAGCCTCGATGTCCTCGACTCGCTCGTAGCTTATTACATGAACAAGACTGTCTATCCAAATCTGGAGGTAATAATTTTCTCAAGGTTCAACTTCGCTTTTCTTACTCCTTCATCTAGGTCGTGGTCGTTGGAGGACACTCAGCTGGTGCCCAGATGGCCCAGCGTTACGCTGCTCTGAGAATCTCGACTGACGATGATGATCGGTTGCATTTTTGGGTCGGTACGTACTGTCGATGATGTGTGCGGCGATAGTGCCTCACTTCTCGAAACGTCTAGCGAATCCTGGATCTCTGGTATGGCTTACGTCAGACCGTCCGGTCTCCGTTGACGATTGCGATGGGGTGGACGACTACAAGTACGGGTTGGCAGATAACTTCCCTGCGTACGCGACTGCGAATGCCCGTGAACTGGGAAGGTCTGGAATCGTTGAGAGGTATAATGGGCGCAATATGAATTACGCCTGGGGACTGGTAAGTGATGACGATAATTATTTTCTTTGGCTAGTTACTCACCTATTTCCTCAGACCGATTACGCCAACGGAGATGACAGATGTGAGGCATCAGTAAGTTCTCCCGAGTCTTATTACGAAGCCTTCGTTTGACTAACCGAAACATGCCTTGCAGGCTCAAGGGAAGAATCATATAAGGAGGGGAAAGAACTTTGTCAAGATGCTGAAAGCCATGGGAGGCATACCTAACCTTACAACTGTCGACTGGGCCGCAAACATTGGACATTCCAATGAGGGAATGATGACAAGCGAAGGGGGGATTGATAAGGTGAATGTCTTTACTTTTATGAACCGCCTCGTAACTCACAATCGGATAGTTATTCCGATATGTGTCGAACAGCACAACCTCCTAAGGTGGCGTTCACTTTCGGCTGTCAGTTTAAATTGTTGAGTTTTTTTTTGGACTCGTATACACATCCACTCTCTCCTAGGTCTTTTACAAGCTAGATGTGTTTTCATATACCTAAATCATGATAATTTAAACAAGGTTTAGACGAACTCTGGTTGCTAAGTACGACAGCATTTGCAATCCAGCTCGGCGAATCATCGTTCTCAAGATATGAATTCGTGAGCATAATCTGGTAAGATTTTCCGGGATCTGATGCGACAAAACCGCATTGTGCGACCAGATCTAGGCCACTCGATAGCCCGGCTTTTCATTCTTTTCCCCGGTATTCTATCGAGGTTTCGGAACCTTTCAGTACACTTTGCCTTAGGAGATTGGGCTGCCAACGTCGCTGCATTTATGCTGCTCACCGAGTCGTTCGGCTGTAAGTGGGATTTGAAGAGATGTACGTTCCAAAGGATGTTAATTGTTAGCTGGAGTTACTCGCAGATCATTACTTCTTCTGTTGGCCAATATTTACAAGTAATCACACTCATATGGGAGCGATAAATTATCCAGAAAGCGGAAAATACATGCAAACGAGTAACAGCAACTCTTGCAGTTAAAACGTACATAAGGGAAAAGGGGCCGACAACCGGAAAATTCGATCGAAATTCAAATTGACTCGGCATTCGCCGTTGTTGATTTTCTACGATCCACCATCACTGAAACGCGACATTTCTTTACCAGTACGTGCATTGAACAAAAATCTTCTATATGTCCTTAACATTGAAGCGATGATATAGCAGTTACTTTTCTATCACCAGACGGCTGCATCTGTCCCGTTTCGTGCTGCACCATAGATCATTGTTTCCTGGCAGGCATATACGATACGATCCACTTACCAGCATGATGTCCCCATCCGACATGTCGTTCATCGAAGAGCGTAGACCGGCTCCTATCGACCGACTTTTTGTCGAAATTCTCATTTACATATTTCATATGAGTGTTCTCGACCGCGGTTCTTACTTCGAGCATTTCGATGTTATTGACTACCAGGGGGGCCCATGGAAGCTTGGGCAAATATGCTCGCCCTGGAGGCAAATTGCCAACAACACATCTACCTTGTAGACACATATCACTTGCCGATGATGGAGTCCGTGAAGGATCCCGTGTCTAGGTTCAAGGTAACATTGGAGCGCTCTTCCTGCCTTCCCCTGGACCTGCGGTTATTCCTTAGCTACGGGTATCCTCTCGAGGTGAAGAGTACGATCTATCAGCTAGCTATTGCTCAGTCGTGGCGGTGGGAGCACTTAACCATCACCCCTGATCGCGATGTTCTTCCTTTTTTATCCGACATACCTGGCTGTCAGCTTAACAAACTATCTCACCTGACAGTCCATTGTCATGAATTGCGGACACCTCAGCATATCGATGCATTCCAGGACCCCCCCGCTTTGCGTACTGTTGAACTTCTTACCAACTCCGCGGGCGACCACTTCGAACTGCCATGGAATAATATCGTCGCATTCTTCGACTATACGTATTGGGGGTTTCCTGAACACGTACGTCATGTTATTGATGTGATTCAGCAGTGCGCAAACCTACAGATACTTCATATGCAATTGTTATACTTTTCACCCTCCGAAGTGGTTAGCATTACCCCTCCGTTTCGATCAAGTTTGCGAGATCTCACGGCATGTCAAGGTGCCATATTTCGGAGCGTAATTTTGCCCCAATTAGAGAAAATACGTGTCGTTCCTAGCGCGAATGCACTTTGTCCTGATGACGCTCTTCCAGATCTTCCGAGCCTCCTCCAATGCTTGCAGTGTTCTCTCGTATCACTCGAGCTCGTCGATGTCATCTTCACTGACATTATTTTTCACATTCTCCATTGCACCCCACACATCAACACTCTCAAACTTTCCACACAATGCTGGGCCACCGGCTACGATCGCATATTCAAAGCCCTCATTGACCGCTTGGCTTCCCATCCCTCTACTCAGCAAAGCTTTCTTCCTCTCCTCAGGAATCTTCATATCACTATCGATGATGTCTTCATAAACATACCCTGTGCTTTCGTTGATCATGTTTTCTTTGACATGGTATCTTCTAGATGGAACACTAGGATCTTGTCGGCCGTCACCCTGGATATGTCGGAGCCAGGGAAGGACTTGAGTTGGGGATTGACTCAGGAACATATCAAAGAGTTTCGCAAGTACCAAAAAGATGGATTGGGTATCAAACTTGGCGTCTTACGTGTCGATCGCGAAGCTGAAGGCGTTTCCTTTATGAGGAAGAGATACGTCTAAACTTTAAATATCGTTTCCTCAGTTGTAGAATATTGACCATTGTCGCTGTTGTCCGACCACTAAATCTGAACTGACTACTTAATGGAATACAGTGATATATTAGTGGCAGGACTCATGAGAATATGTGCAATGTGCACTCCGGTGATAAGCGGGGTCTTACATCTGTTTTTCGACCTGCGAGACGCAACTTGGTAGGGCCTAGGCCCCGGCTTGAATTTCAAATTTACGCCAAAATTGAAGCGGCGTTTCCCGGCATGTTACATTTGAACTTGATCTATGTATTAAATTAACCCTGTCTGTGACGCTTGAACCCACGAAACTACAATGAAAATGTCCGAACATGGTGTGATCCCTGTGAGCAACCGATAATATCACACCATATCTCCCTGTTTCCCTTCCCAGTCCTCTGACTCGGACACTTTTTGGGTACCCATAGGCGTCATCTCATGGCGCTCTACCTGCACGAAGACCTCGGTGGTATTAGCGGTCAATCGAACCACGTCGTCCTTCTACGAAACGAAGGTGAGCGCTTTCACCATCACGTCCAATAAGTAGGTCGAGACGTACCTTCCTAGACGAATCCAAGTTCGTTTTCGATGACATAGAGTACGACCATCCAGAGCGGGCGTTGAGGCTGCTCATGAGCGCGTTGGTATAGAGCTTCCCGAGCATGCCGGTGAATATTATATGGACGCTTGGTGAGGCCTGAAAAACATGATAAAGTCACAAGGTCCAAAGCAGAGATGAAAGATGCAGCGTACAATGGCAAGAAACGTTATGAGATCCATCATTGCGCAGAAGGAAGTAATAAATCCCGTTTGAATGGTAACTGAAGGTAGATAAGCAATGAATGAGAGGAACAGAATCATAGAGATGCAAAGAAGGTCATACGCCGGATAATCCTATCCATCAGCTCATCGGACTGCTCGAATCCGGTTTTGTGACCGCGCTGTGGAAGTCTTGTTAGGCGGACGCGTTGGTTTAACATCGTAGAAGCCGCTTACGCTACAAGAAGAAGAGTTAGCCAGCTTCCTTGTCATCGAACGAGTGAGCGTATGGCGTACAGATACCACACCAAAGCCCCGGTGATCAGGAAGTCGCAAATACAACTCGATACAAGCCAGATAATCACAGTGACTTTGAATTTCTGAAAGTCCGTTACTGCCTCTTGAGCGTTGGCTTCGGCGGCTGTAGCTATACCACCAGCTAGGGGAGTAGTTAGGATCAAACTAAAGACGACTCGGAGAAGACTAGGACGCACCGACTGCTAGGAGCGCTGTGACGCATACACTCGTTGTGGATATCCAGCTGGACGTGAGGACCTTAACGCGCCATGCGAAGAAGAGCTGCACCCCTCCCGCCATAATTGCCTGTGGTATTTGGTAAGTGCGGCAATGAAAGTCAAGAGAGATGCTGACCGTTAGTGCCTCGTCTGGCGGTTAAGGAAGATATCGTGTTAACGGGGACCAGATGGGAAAAGGATGTACAGGACATACTAGCGGCGCCCACTGTGAATTAATTCTGCGTTAGAGGTTGATGTGTAAAGGGAATCGTGACTCACTGCTTGTAGAGCGCGTGTAAGACTTCGAATTACCTAAGAGTACAAGGTGAAGATTAATCCATAAAAGGGACGTGAATATGCTCACCAAAGTTTAGTATTAACCCAATGTACATATCAATCATGTACAAAACAGATCCAGCTACGTTAACCAGCAAAAGGGTATAGACCTGCTTCCAGAATAAGCTTACGTTTGGCCAAGGCAACAAGAAACGACTTGCAAATATTCGGATCCAGAGATGATCACGGCTGAAACCAGAGTTTATATTAGGAATGGAATCGTAGAGGAGAAAACGAAATACAGACCGCTGATATTTGATAAAATACATGTAGTATTGCACAAATGCCATGCCCAGCAAAATCAGATTGAACATCAGGCCCAGGAATAAGGGACCCAATCTAAAAAATCTCCGATCAGAAACGTAAGAAAGCAGAAGGACGAAACCATACGTAGCAGCAGCCGGATTCATGACGGTCAATTGGTTGAAAGGCGACTTTTGACTTCTTTAAATACGGACGGTCTCGCAAGGGGTTCAATCTTAGGTTCCGTCTGCGCAATATCCTTTGTCTTCAAGAACAAGACGCAGGATTATCTCAATAACCATCAGCGTGAAAAGGAGGAGTAATTTGACAGCCTCCTGCGGTACCGCACTCACATACCGGCGGCAGCCGCGGGTCAGCTAATTTCAAATTGTACTCAACAGATTGCAGTAATAGGCTGGAGGGGAGCTGGCGCCATCTAAACAAAAAAAAACTGAAATTTGGACGGCACTATGCTACGTTGACGGTTTCTGGCGGTAAAATTTTCGGCCCAGCGATATCTCTATTTCTCCAAAATACGTTTTTGGTGCTTACATAGTTTTCGGCTGATCGTCTAGATCTCCAAGGGGTGCTCTTTTCAGGTGGCTCTGTGCCAAGAATTTCACGGTAAATCAACTCATTACACTCTTATCCTTGATGGTAAACTCCAGTCCAGATTTGAGGATTCACGTCTCAAAATTACTATCAGACAGTACTTATTGTTCAGATTAAGCACTCAGGAGACGCATCAAGTTATTACAGAGGCACAAGCAAGGTACCTGTGCGCCGTGTTCCTATTCTCGAACACGCTCGATCTGACAGCGATGCATATTTGACAGTCTCTCATCATCATTACACGGCACAATGAACTTTAACTTCTCACAGCGTCACATAACAGCAGACTCCCCCCAGGTGCCAATACACGTTTGATACATTCAGTCTTCCTGGATTGCTTACCAGCTGACAGAAAGCACATTCGGTCTGTTAATATGAATTCTCATGAGTCATTATTGGAATTCGGCATCAACCTCATCCGCTTGCTTGGAACGATACTGACAATAACAAAGTCGGACGACTCGTCCTGTCGTCCCGGGAAATATCATTAAGCGAGGGGGATATTAATAACTATCCGAGACATTCGATCTATCTGGGTTCCCGATAACAGCATGGAACCCGCGGTACCTAATTTTATCGACGCTTCAATTCCTTTTGCCAAGGTCATGGGTCGGACGCTATCATTTCCTCGTACTGGTATTGCAGACACGGATTGACTAGACTTAATGAAATCGAAGCTGCTCTCCTCCGGCAGCCGAAAATCATCTATGTTCACCCCAACTCCGGTTCCTCGCGTACGCGGTTCAAAGTCGGTCCGGTCCATACGGACTTCCCGTCAAGACGGACGCTTTAAATATGTCCCGAGTGACAAGGATCATTGATATCCACTGGTATGCATTGCGAGTTAAGATCATTGGACGTGTGAGCTCTGAATCTGGTTGCTCTCGATAAATAATATTACACCTTGATACATATCCCATAAGGTAGCCGCTAAAAGTAGAATCGGAACAAAAAGTACACGACACAAACAGATCTACCCGAGATCATCAAACATGGGATTCGTCCGCCTTGATTCGATGCAAGGTGTCAAGTTCCAATGAATGCGTCGACTTATTCTGCTTCTGTGGAATGGAAATAGTGAGAATTGAAGTTTCCCTTGCGAAAGAAAACAAATTCTCACTATATCTGAAGAAGCATCGTCTGTAATATGGGGCTGGCAATCGACTTCGATTGCCATATCTCCCGGCTTAATGCAGGACGTCAGTTGTAAGAGCTTTCATTAGGGGCCAATGCTCACCCTAGCAACCTGTAGCCTCGTCCCAGCTGAAAACGACTCGGACGTTAACCTGTGTACGCCACTTAGAGATCTGAATCGCTTCCGTGAGTTCAAGGTCGCCTAGTGTCAGGTTAGTCACACTTTGAAGTTAGATATGAAACGATACCCTCTTACCAGGACGGAAACGCTATACACTATGCGAGAATGTTAGTCGTAGCGTGCGCGGTGAAAGGAACGCCGGATGTACTTCGACACAGGACTGCGTATAAACCGACAAAGATCAGATTATCGCTCCAGACGGTCTGTCCAAAGACGATCAGGGCTAAATTTATGGCACTTAGACAATAACTTACAGCGGTAACGAAGCAAAGAATAGCAAAAATGCTGTATGCCAGTCATCAATCGTCTGCTCCATGTATTCCACGGTACCTGCCTATTAAGAAACCCCGTATTCAGAGAGTACAAAACAAGCCTGTTGATAATGTGGTTTGTTCTGCGGACACCTGTCATATGAATTGCAACAAGGTTTGAAGGAAGGTGGTACATACTGTGCATTTTGCGTCTTACTCTTTAGGAGCATATAGATGAGAGAGGAAGAGATCAGCTTGGGACGAATTAGTAGGACAGTCGAATATCACAGTCAATGACGCACGATATCGGCGCTGTACCCGAAGACCAATAGCTTGGCAATGTTCTTTAGTTGTCCAAGCTGGGTAGTTGATGTAAGAGATTGGCTGTAAATTAACTTGCGTTAACTGAGCGACCGTCCATAGCATCCTGAAACTTACCATCGCGCGTAGTAGTCTATGGATAAAAGCCATCTTAGTCAAACAATCGGGTACGATCGGGAGCCAGCTACTCACACAGGGTAACCACGAAATTTCCGATGACTAGGCTGCTCTGAGGGATACTGAGTAGAGAGATACATTCAGAGAAGATCGACGTACAATAAAGGGGGCAAGAAAGCGATTTCTTTGGCTCACTAGACAGCATATGAGCTTGATAAGAATATACGAAAGACAGTGTCCAAATAAACCCACCGACATAAACTCTCCATGTGAAGAAGCTAATGGTAATAGAACTAATTTAACCCACGTGTTCATGTATTGGACAGAGACGCGATACACACCCTTGGCAAACCAACCCTTGACATGCCTACAGGAAAATATTCAGCAAGAGGGAGTCTTAAAAACAGGTAACATCTCCGCACCGTTAGAACCAGTTGTATTAAAAAGGTCCTAGACGTTTGCATATATGACGATAGTAGTTCAGGACAAGCAGCGACATGGCTCACCAGAGCAGCCTGGTTAAGATCAACGGATTGGCGAACCCTTTGATCAAATAGATGTACAGAGCGTGGGTGATGAAGATTTGATGCGAAGTGTCGAGGAGACTGGTATGTGAGGATGGTATCAAGTCAATGAAAGAGAGCGAGGATCACTTACCACACAACCGCAACTACACACTTCATACCGATATGGTCCCTCGGGTAGTCCTATAAAAACGGTCGATATTCAATTCCTCTTTCAAACCATCGAAAACGGCGGCGTACCGAGTAATACTCGTAGGTATGCAATATCGTACTCCCCCAAATGCTGTGTTATCGGTTGAGCAATACCGACTCGGAGCTCCAGGACGATGTATCACCAACCTCGCTGCAATTCTGGATACGGGATCAGGCCTCATGAATCGAGAGCAAAAAAGGGGGGGAAAGAACTTACATTGTCCCGATGAGAAGGGCTCCCATCTAAAGCAAAGAAATCAGCCAACGAATCAGGATCCGAATTGAGGACTTGCCGTATTGTCAAGAGCTGGGAGGGCCATCGTAGTACTCATGCTTGATGCTTGAGGAGATGATCCACCCATCCCGTGAAGGAAGTGCTATTATATATAGCAGAACCCGCTCCAAGATAGAGCCCGAAGCAGAGAACGAGGTTTAATTGTACCTTGTTCAGTTTTTTGATGAGATTCGCTGTGATGTCATTTCTCACATCTAGGCGGTCTCTGGAAGTCTGCGGTAATCCGCTCAATCGTCGCAGACAACTTCCACCTTCAGGGTTCTATGATGTGGCCGTGTGTATGAACGAGGCCTCAGGCAAGAGGGCGGGTTATCAAGTTGACGCGCTTGACGGTGATGAAATCAAGAAGTGGGAAGAAAGTCTCGGATGGAAGAGATTTCTTGCGGAGAATTTGCGGGAAGGAGGGGAGAGCAAGGTCATGTGGGAACTTCGAAGATGGGTGTTGTCGTCTGATCATGATCGAAGTCCCAGGCAGCCGTCCTGGGTGACGCTTTATGCGGTCTCGACCGAACGGGAAATTCCGACCTCATAGAAAAAAAATTCCGAATATAAACGTCCTGCCATGCGGTTTCTGCGAATCAACGAAGGAACTAGGTGAATTTTAGGTAGGACTCTTGATGGGGAAGATTTGCACGTCCGCGATCTTATACATCCTGTGAATATGAAGATCATACATGGGCATTGTGACGCAGAATTTGTCAAACGCAGTCAATATGGCCTCGAAGAGAAGCATTTACATCTCGATGCGAAAGTAAGACAGTGATATTGGTGCTTTTTTGTCCTGGATAGTACCGAAAATCAGTGATGCTTCTACCGATAAGAAGGAACCCCATACCGTAAACATGCCAATGGCTTCGTCAGACTAGGGATTGAACAGATGTTGCAGTCTTAGTTCCGACTGAAGACATGTCCTAGGACTGAGGTACATTAGAAAGATATCCCTTGCATGTGTGGAATGTGAATGTTTAGGATACCGGCGTCTTCATCTGCAGCTGGCAAACTTATGTAAGATATTCGCAGAGGAGGTATCTCCATTCATATCAAATCCGGGACGAAGACTGCGATTCATTTGTGCCTCAACCGCCAATAAAGGAAAACCAAAGGTAACGTAAAAATCAAATCCCACCTAAAACGGGAACAACCCTCATCGCGGAGATATCAATGGCGAATGCGTTTCCTCCTGTACAAGGCATGTCCGCTACGCACCAATCAGTTCTCGACTATAAACACAGAAGACTTACCAGACTCCGGGTCGAAGCTCACAACCCATTGAACATCTCCAAGCTCCGATCCGCGTGGTTCAACTTTAAAAACAACGTAAGCAACCCTAGCGCCACAGAAGAACTGACCGTATAAATATATCTTCGGTTTGCTCTAGATACCCGACACATGCGCCGGCTTTTGGATGTCAAGTCGAAGATATTAGGCAAAGTGAAACGTAGAGCACACGAATCCTGTCGTCGATACAAAAGTCCAGGGAGATAAAGCGTCATCGCAGGTCTTGATTTAAGGAATGTTCGTTGTGCTCCATAGCCCTGACATCATATTCTGTTCAACGAACCTGTATGAGAAAACATTAGAAGCATTGGTAGTGAGACCCACCAATAGGAACTAGGCTGTCGTACTGCTTTCGAGCCTTCGTCGAAGTCATTTTGGATGAAATCTGATCGGTTTGCTTTTGGCCACCACATATGCCATCGAACTTTAAGGGTCGGAATCGGGCGGCCATGCTGCAGATTCCAAACGTCTGTGGCTTCGAGCCCCAACCATGTTTTCGTCGCTCTCCCCATGATATCCCAAACGGGACGTTCGAATATCGAAGAGACTAGAATCATTGCATAACCGCTCCACGCTTCGCAAACTGTAGATGCGCGGTATGTTGTTTCGGCCTCGGGAATTTAGGGATTTAACAAAAAATCTGTGAACGACGGTGATTGCGGCTGTGTGGTACAGAGGAGAGGGCGATGACGGCAATTTTAGGAGGATGGCGGGCCAGGGCTAGCTTATATATGTCAAACCCCCGCAGAATGTAAGATGCCGTCGACATTTTTGGTCTCGCATGACACGAACAGAAGGCAACAAGTTATGGCATTGCACGAAAGGGCAACAGTGAATGCGCTATGATTGTATGACGACAGCCTAAAGATATCGTTGAGGTATTGTTGAACACCGGAGGAGTTGGAAGAACGCACATCGTCATGACAACTCTCGATACGTAGGATCATAATCAATGCTTCTTTATTCTGCACGGGTGTAAGTAAGAGAGAGGAAAAAACTGTACAATAGACACGAACCTGTAGACTATCGTCCCATGATATTGTTTTTCTGGGCCATTCATATCACCGGCAAGCAGCATCTTCTCACGCTGACCATCATAACTCGCAATATCGGGAGAACTTGTGAAATTGAAATAGCACCCTCCGCGGATACTAAATTTGAGAATCTCACGTATTCGGCATGTCAGATATCCCAGCCAAGACCAAACGTGAAGGACAGTTCGACACCAAGTTATCTATCCCCGACAAAAATATTTCAGAGCTTGCCACTCTAAGGTTCTTTTCTACACATCGAACAACCACAGAAGCGCAGATGGGCTAGCCGACGCATTGATAAACCACACATGGCATGAAAAGGAGCGCCTGTACGGGTTTGAGAATTGTCTCTGGTTCTCTTGTGCATGGCATCATGTTATCCGATTTCTTCGCAGTAGAGCATACCACGGATGGCGATGGAGGATCAAGGAGAGTACGGTATGAATTGCGATGGTCAGGTTGAACAAGCGATGACCCGGTCCGGTCCGGCATCGCCGCAAAAGCCCCTCTTCGGAAGACTGTTACTCTTGCGGTATACAAGCAAGTGATAGGCCCTAGTCAAGAAATACATCCAGAGAAGAGACAGAAAAGGTAGTGAAACAGAAAGCGGCAGTTGGGGATACGGCATTTTTAAGATGAAAGACAGAAATCGACCAAATCTGCTGCCTGTATCCATATATCAAGGGTCGGATTCGAAGGCATATGCTGTGCCAGCTCGTCTTTGGCGTGACTGTCTATATCAGAGTGATCCATGGAGTGCGGTACCCCTACCGCTCGACTTCAATGCAAAAATAGCACATTAGCTTCAGTCAAAAACGAGGACTGGATACATACCACTGCATTATGATATTCGTGGACAGGTAGTGGTTCCGCTTCCGAATTCGATAAAAGCTGCGTCCGAAAATCATATTTTCATTTTGGCTGACCAAGAGGTACGTCAGTCCGGTGGCAAAGTGGCGAATCACGGAAGCATGCTAAACCGCCACAGAATCAGAAGACAATTATTCATCAGAGAAGCCTGACACTTACGGTTGACATTGTAGGAGATGATGCGACAAGACGAGCTCCAACCATCTTCCATTTCCTCAGTTGAATGGGGTGGCGTTCGTTGGCCTTCCGACTATCCATCGGCCTTCGGTGGGCTCTTGGCGCATGACTCTCCAAAACGTCGGAAGATCAGAAACCGTGGACATCCATGTCTCAAGAATGTGCCTGCTCGTCATCGCTTAGCCCAGCACTACATATCCCCGTCAGTCTTCAGAGACCGAATTCGGAATTGCTCGTGATCTAGTACTAGTCCTGCATGGGAAAGAAACACCCGGCACCCAGATATTTGGAAACCGGGTCAGTGTTTGTAAGAATACAAAACCATGGAAAATGTTACAACACCTAGATCTCAGTCAAGAATCATCTAGACTCCGAGGTCAAAAGACACGGTGAAGACGGTCGACCTGCTGATGGCCCATGCGTGGGCATGGTTCTCATTATCACCTTGACTACTGTGTACGCGTGTTCAAGCTAGAAAGATGCCGCCATGCGAGCCACCCAGAAAGCAGTGTCGGTTCGGAACATTGTGATGGAAGGAGACGTTCCACATGGTGCATACGCTCTAAGCCATCTGGGAAGTTCCTGAGGCTTCAGCACTGTGCGCAAAGTAATACACCAGCCTTTCCAACTTAGACAAGCCGTAAAATCACCTTCCTGTCGATAAACATCGCATCGCCAAGGTTTGTCGGTCCGGTTCCCGTTCCAACCGAGTACAGTGTTAAATTATCTGATGTTAAATGGATGGATGGGAATCGCCCTTAAAGACCCTGGAATATGCTGCTGATCGAAGAGGTATCATGGTTGGTCACTCGAGATCTTAACCGCAGGCGCTGAAAATAACATGAAAGGTCTCATTAGGCGACAAGGAAGAGCCCAATAAGAAACGACATACTCATAAGCTTAATTTGTTACACATCATTAGAATTCCCTGGCCATAAGAGTTCGAACATAAAATTCGTTTTTGACCGTTGAAGAGGGATAAGAGAAATCTTGTATTGGAGTCCTTGTCCTAATTGTTCTCCTACGTAAACAGAGGCCGCTTTAGAGCGCTCGAGTCTATGAATCTCTCCTGCGGTGAGAGAGGGAGTAATGACAGACTTGTGCAGTAGACGTACATGTACCAATCTGCGCAAGTGTCCCAATTTATTGATTCTGCCAGAGATAAAGATGATTTTTCTCTCATACCGTCCAACTCGGAACTCAAGAGTCAGCTCCATTCACCTAGAGAAGTAGAATCCTGGACGACAATAATGAAAGTGACTCCGAAGCGATGCTTGGCATAGCAGACACAGAATCAAGTCGCGTGGTGCTGTTGACGGGCCATCTGCACCGCCACCACGTGTCGCTGACGTCGCAACTTCCATCACCTTGCGTTCAATATTTTGGCAACATTTTAGAGGCATGTTCCAATTCCCGCACGCTTTTGATGAATGGTGATGATGATAGAGGTTTAAAAAGTTTGCGTCCGTACTATTGTACATTTCGTGTTGAAAACAGAAGAACAATCAAAGCGCATTGTGAGCCTTCAAGTACTCTTCAGCATGCTGCTTAGCTCCTGCCGAAACTCGGGGATCTAAACCGACTGAGTGAGCACATACAAGCTCTGTGCCAAAGACTTACTATGCAAAGCTGCCTTGTATCCAGCAATAACTCGAGTTTCGTGCTCCGAGTCAGACTTAAGACCACTAGGATCAATTCCTGCGGCTTCAAGGACCTCGCGAGCATGCTGTTTGGCTTCTTTGGATGTCCCCTCATCTAAAATACCGGTTAGCCGATCCGATTAAAGGAATAGTGAAACGAAACCCACTATGAAGTGTAGCCTTGTATCCGCCTGAATAACTGCTTAGCGTCAACGGCATTCAATGAAACGGCAATCTTACCGAGGGTACGTTTCATATGGTGCTCCTCCTCCTGCACGTTTACTCCAGTTAGCTCGTTAAGCCGCTCTTGCGCAAGTGCTTTGGCATCCTCGGATGTGTTCGGATTGCTGATAGTCGCTTTGAGTCCAGAGATCACGTGCGCAGGGTCTTTTTGATGTGCTAAATTCAGGTTTCTGTAAAGAACGAAGCGAAGAAGTGAAGAAAACCCTTACAAGGTGCAGAAGCCATGGTTCGTACTATGGTAAAGCGTCGAAGGTGTTGCATTTGGGCTCCGGAGGTTTCACTGCTTTTTGTCACGGGAATTTGTATGTCTTAGGTACAGGTATGATTCATGAATGACGATGTGGGTACGGGCTAGCGGGACATCCGCTTTGGGAGGTTCCTATTGTTCCAAACACACAGAAATTTCCGATCACCTGATTTCCCTCCCTAAAGCGAACTAAAAAGAAAGGCCAGCCAGAATTGTGTTTGGAATGTAAGAGGACTTGGCCACGATCCTCGATCCCGAAACAAGATTTGCACCTCAGTTAAGAGCAATCTGTCGAAACCTGTAGTCGTCATTTACTCGAATCAAATTTATCTTTGATAATCGACTGGAATCTACAGGATAGCAGAGTACAAGGAGCAAGCCCCCGACCACACAGCTGGCAGTACATTGGACCTCTTGCGGTTAGAGGAGAATACTTGCGTGTGGTCGAGCATGTCGGTCGAATTGAACAAAATGATACAGTCCTGGGGGGTTTTCCTGCGGTAGAAACGTGTTCTTATCTACTTGCTTCATCCATCGACGTTAAGCATTCCCATTGTTTTTTCTCTTTTCTGGTGCCTCCGCGTGCTCTGTCTATCCGTACTCCGTTAATTTTGCAGTCTAAATTCTAAAAGATGAATACATGGAACTCGGTCTTAAAACCGCATTCAGAAATGGGATGGACTTTCATCAGATAAAAAACCTATGCTGAGATCACGTAAACGTGTCTGGAATGACCGTTTCAGCCCGCATCGTTACACGAATATCCTGGTGGAGCGAACACTTTATGTTTCTCCAACAAACGTTCGAGATGGACTCCAGGGATATCATTAATATCAGGTCCCCTAAATTTCTAGGTCCCCTGTGTTATAATCAAGTGTTCTTATGTGACTATTGCACTGCAGCTTCCCATCCTCATCAAACATTCCGACATGAACAGATGATCATGTCGCCGTCTCAGGGTCTGGATACGCTTGATGAACATCATGATTGTAGCTTTCCTCATAAGTGTCACCACGGTGGGGTTTCGACGCAACGCGGGCAACAAGGAGGGTTGGTGCAATTCCCTAGAAATCAATAAAACCAATAAATATGAAGAAGGTATTCCAGATACCTTGATATACGCCACGATGATGTCTGCGTAAAAGCAATCATCGGAATCACGAATCACGAGCGCCAGGTAGACGACCAGCGATAGAGAGTAGATGGCCGAGGACTCGACCAGGACCTCCAGGATGTCAAAATACACATGAACACCCGAAACTCGCAGTATACGATACACGATGAGTGCTGTGCACATCAGCGTCGTGGCCAGGGTCAACGAGATGTACATCACGGTAAAATCAATCTGCGAGACAACCCCTCCTGTATCAGTGATATCCTCAGTCGTGTCGAGGAGAATACTGTACAGCTGTATCACCTTTGCGACTGGAAGATGCAAGTGTTTAGAGTGCGATGAAAAGACGTTCTGCAGCTTACCGGATCCTGCAACGGCACAAACTGTGGGAAAGATGACGATTCGCCACTGTCGATCCCAAATGACCCAACAGCGCCATACCTGCAAAAAAAAAAATCCAGCGAGGGCGCGAAAGACATAAGGAACAAACAAACGATGGTAATGTCGACAAGGAATGTGCTGAAACCGCCCGTGATTCCATCGACGAGCTGGTAAGCTATCCACCAAGGGCCGGAAAGCTCTGCAGCTTGGAATACAGTATAAAAGTTATCCCCGTGTCCTATGAACGCACGACGCAGGAAGGCCCAGTCGAACCCAAATCCGATCGTCGCGAGAATGTAGAGCAAAACGATTATGATAAGCAAAAATTTTCTTCCAGAAGGAGGTCTCGAAACTGCACAGATTAAGAAAATAGAAAAGAGGATCAAAATAGGACATACGTTGGGTCCAGAGGGTGATGGATATCACACCTGTGTATAAGCCTGAAGCCCGACTTTAGAAAGGTGCAAGGAAGGGTGAGAGCAGCATACCCTGAAGGAATGTTTCGAGAATCATTCGATTTAGGTCCAGGTCTAAGCTCCCGAATATTTCCTGTCTTTCCCCCAGGGAAATGTTCCATGATGTCGATTCCATGGGGAGAAGAACAGCTATAGAACCTTGATATGTGCTCTCTTACGCAGGAGGGTAATTATAGGATGATGCTATCTGATCAATGATCATCATCCGCGTCTACGGTGTCATGGTTAAGCGTGATTGGATGAGACATGTATCAGGAATGCACCTGCGGATAATTGCTGTAACAACCATGGGAAATATCGCGAACACCAGCAAAGACTTGGGCGTAAACCCTCAGGCGTCGTTGGGAAACCTAGCACTGCGGCTGTAACTATCTAGTCTGCACCAGGGGAAGATGTGATTATTACGAAAGACGAGAAGTAAAATTTCAATTTACATTAATTGCTGCTCCCTTTCATAATGTGTATATTTGCCGCAGTAGCTGTTCCACGATTAAAATTTTTGCTCTGGAAGCTTATCAGACGGAGCTGTCGACAATCAACATTTACCATGACAAATGAAACACATCATATCAAGCACTAGCGACATCCGAAATTTCCTCTGGATATGATTCGTTGTGGACTTGGAGGGAAGGAAAGCCATAAATGATTGGACAAGAGACTCGCGACGAATTGTCCATCAGACTGAGGCCGTCTGACTACAATAAGATGAATTTAGATCGATGCTTTCCACTTAGAACAACAACTTACATCAATACCGACTCTATTTCTCTTAGTCTCCGTGCGGCTTTTCCACACCTCAGAGTTCTTTCCGAGTTCTTGGGACTACATCTAGAAGCAACATCAAGCAATCTCCACGTGCGGTACGTTAAGGCAGGTTCATGAACCTACAGTTCGCTCTTACCTTCGCATTTGGCGGATTGCTAAATTCACACTGTGAGCGTTGGGCACGGTCCGGTCCCTCCGCGACCACGTGCTCTTTAGGGCAGGATTACTGTAGTTCTCCGCTCGTCTGTAGCTAGATCCTAGGACTATCACCAGCGATTCCCCATTCTCCCTCTCAGATCGAACGATACGGTTCGAACACCAAGGATGGCCCGAATATTTGTTTACATTTCCCAAGTTCCCCAACGGTTCCCAATAGTCAATCGGGTTCAGGGGCTTGATAAACTTTAAAAGTCGACTGCAAAAATCCGTGGTTCTTCATGACGACTTTTTATTGGTGCGTTCCTCGATGTATTAGCTGGAATGAAACGAAAACACTGTTTCGATATAGCTATGGAAATGCAAAGATCTTGTCAGAGAATTTAATTCGTCTCCATGATTTCGTCCCGAAGACAGCAGGCATTGCCCTCACATTTATACTATTTTGTCACATTAATAAAAGGACGAGTGTATTTGTGTTGCTATTTGTCTTACTATCTAACATCCCCACCATACGAACATCTGATTTTGATTCGATTTTAGATGTCCGACGTGCCCGCATTTGATACTTGACAACCCGGTTTCTATCTTCTGGCTCTCCTGATATTATAAATGGTATATCACTGCTTTCAATTTCATCCCTTTGCTATTTCTCAAGCAAGAGCTGTAGGACAGCGTCTTCCTTGCGGGTCAAGCTGAACCCGAGCGTCATTCATTTCACCTTTTCTCTCATTTATAACGAGGCATTTTCCTTTCATTTTGGATTCAACATCCCTCGCGAAATTAAGTGAACAGAGTTAAAGTTGCATGTCTGTTACGATTCATGACATACAATCCCGCTGACGATATTCCCAAAGGACCTTCCTCTTGAATACCTTTCCGCACACCTGAAGATTGAAGTTCGATGGGCGGGCATCATAGTTCCGGGTTCGGCCATCAAGGTTCTTGGCATAATATGGTTCCCCCATCTGGCGACGAAGGTTCAGGTGACGATGATAGCACAGGAACTTCAGCTTCGAACAGGTTAGCCCTTATCTTGATACTATGCCTTCATCTGCGGACTGAAAATATTCAGGAAACGGCAATTCCTTTTTCGCTCAGATCCCCAGTACAGCTGGCACGCTGTCGATCAAACAAGGTTCGTCATATGCCTCCTCGCGATACGGAACAACACCCATCCTGGCTTCGTGCAGATCCCGGAATGTTTCGCCTACCCACCTCATTGTAGGAAGTTACATTGTCGCAATCATCCTGTTCGTTATCGTGATCTCCCACATTCGAAGAAGACAGCGACGACGTGCACGAATAGAATCATCATTTTCGGAAGAGGTGGACGTTGTGGATTTGGAAGACCAAAAGATCTCAGCAGCTGCCGAGGACTAGTATGAAGAACTATCACGCTATTTCCCTACGCATTAAAGTATGCTGTGTTTATAAACAAGGTGGCAATTGGTCATTATGATGCTAGCTCTGTGGAAGCCATAGTAAGAATTATTGTATACGAAACGAAGCGGGGCGAATTTCGGTAAAGCTCATCGGACGTTTATGATGCGCTGCTCGGAATGTCTATAGATATTCCATATAACAAACACACAGATCACCGATACACTCCAATCCTCCTCATTAATTCCATTGGGGCATCAATCGGGCTAGGACCTTGCGGTAAGCCTAACAGCTGCTCAAACTGCAGTCTAAACTGCTCGACAAGCTCACGGTCAAGCATCCACGCATCGAAGAGCTTCGTATCCAGCATACTCCCATATTCCCCTAATGCTGCATGGACACTCAATGAGCACGACGAAACCCAATATTAGTTAGTCACGACGTACGCTTGAGGCCCTCCTTGGGCGGAACGTCACTTCTGACGCTCCATCCCCCACCAGCCAGTACGCTCTGGTAGTCCACCGACAACAACCAATTCATGTAAAGCTGGGCAGCGGCAGGGTGTTCGGCAGTATTGAATATCGCCGCACGCTGTGCCCATATGACCGATGTGCTCGAGTCCGAGTCTGGGGGTAGCTGCTCGACAATACCGGTGCTTGCATTAGGGAATCCCGCGGTCGTTGTGAATGTCACAGCTTCGGTTCCGGAGGAAAGGAGGACCGTAGACAGAGTAGCGGTCCCTCGAACCCAAGTGATACCCTGCGCGATGAAGTCGTAGATAGCCTGCCAGCCATGGGTTTGTTGGATTTTGTAGAACCTTCGAGGATGGATAATGAAGTAGAGGTCAATGCGAAGAAGAGGGATACGTACTCGAATAGTACAGCGTCGTCATCATTGGGATACGTGCTTACAATACGATTCTGCCATTTCGGGTCGAGGTAGTCCAGGAATTCCTTTGGGGCATCGGAGACATTGGTTTTCGCCGTTGCGTAGGTGTTGGAGAAGAGGTAGTAAGCCATTCCTCTGTGAGAACAGGTCCGTGGGTATAGAAGACGAGGGGGACGATATACACGTACACGAAAGCGCCATCAGGATCTTTGATGTCGTCTGGCACTTGATCCCATCCCGCGGGTTTGTATTTGAGAAGCTTCCATGGCGTTAGAGCCATCAACGCTATAGAAGACAATACTTACTCGCCCCTCGCTCTTCCACCGAACGAAGTCGTGGTACGTCTGCAGATGTGCAACGTCCACTCCTGCTTTCCCGGTGAGGTTCAGGGACCGGTCAATAATCCCATCCTGGTACTTGTGTGAAAAATAAGAAATATCCCAATAAGGCGGTGGTGGGACTTACTTTGGAAAGATCGACCGTGATGGTAATATTTATATTAGGGAATCTTTCCTGGAAAGATTGGACAAAGGGATCTTGCTGAACACTCGTATCGCCGCCAGCTCGGACAAGGAGCTGGCCCCCTTCGGCAATGGCGAGCTCGTAGAGCTCATCAAGCGACTGTGTCTCCACAGCTACGGGCGTAGGAGAAATAGAGCTGATGTTAGATCCAGATAGACCTCCCAGCGATCCAAAGATCGGTTTAAAGAGTGGAGCGGCAGACGCCACAGTAAAGTATGTAGTGAGGAGAAAAAGAGTGACACGCATGGGTAAAAGAATGGACGCCGATGAAGGGCTACGGCTTTCCGTCGCTAAGCTCTGGTCTTTTATAACACCATGCGTTGTTCGGCATCCCTTTACCCTGCCAGAGAGCTGAGAGTCATGTACGGACGCCTAACGACATGGCATACGACATGGAAATGGCGGCGCAATCCCACACCGGAGTTAGGTGCAGTTTACAATCTATGGCCGCATCAGCGCCGAAGGTTCAACCTTGCTCTATGACAGCTCTTGCAGTGCTCAGAAAGATCTCGAAAGTCAAGGTTCTAGTCCTAAAAGCGCCCTTCTGTTAAATGATAACCAATTCTTGTAATATGATAATATATGTCCTTACATTCAGACCAATCGTGTAGCAGAGGGTGGCGTAACATTTGCCTATGTCCGTTCTGACATTTGGATTGGGACCGGAACTGAGCCGATATTGAGAAGGTGGATACCGTCCTCCGATTGGCCATGCTTATCCCACTTTCCTTTGCATCGTTATTTTCGGTGCACGAAGAACCAGGGACCTGGGTGACCGTGTTTGATCATTATGACCCTACTCAGCCGGTAGCAAGTGTGTCAGTGAAAACGTCGCGTGTCACAAGAGGCCTCGAAAATTGGCTAATTTGCATAGAATTTCGTGTCTTCGGAGTGATCTCTGGAATCCCCGTATTAGTACTTGAAGCTGTATCCACGACGACCACAGTGTGGACCTTGTCACTAGATTTCATATTCGAGTCAGTCATACCGACGAGCTCAAGGAGGAAGGAGAATAAGTACTGATATCATACCTATTCATCGCTTCGGCTCCCCTTTTCGTGGCAAGTCTCGCATAGGATATTCTCTATATCGGGTCAGCTTTTCAGAGGACTTGCCAGCTCTCTCATTTGTGCAGCAGTGCATACCTTTGGGACGGGGAGATCGCGACCCTACAACTTGCTCTGGACTAGTGGGCGTTTTTGGTTTACCATGGAATTTCACTTTAGAACTTTTTAAAATCCCCTTTTTATTCATTTGGTTTTTGGCTCCTCGATTCTTTATTTTTTGTATGCGAGCAGTACAGTACATTCCCTGCTTATCGCCCTCACAATCATCGAGAAATCTGAGCTTTTGCCATTGTCGACGTCGCCTATCGTACAAGATCTGGCTTTTAGCACCCTCCCTCAACTTTCTTCAGAATTTAGATGCGCCTTCTGTGATGAGACATCTCTCTTTAAAATCTGTGTGATTGACAGTGTACATTTTAGGAACGAGATGTATCATCCTGTAGCTACGCGATAGATCAGTTAATTAACGGGGCACCTTGATTTGAGCGAAACCATCTGCTGAGGATGTGGTAGATCTCTATTGATAACACTGAGGGTATGGAGATCATACGGTTTCCTTGCCCAACGATGTTTAATGACCATCATCCGGGTGATTATAATCAGTATCGCCTTCCCTGAAACAGCCGACCAAGGGAGGATGATTCTCCCACATAGCGACCATCTTTTCTCGGCGGTAGGTCGCTTTAGCATGGGCTGAAACGCGTCCGACAAGCAGTGTTGGGGCGATGGCCTTCAGGGTTTCAGATCATCGTCCAAAAGCAACGGGATATAAACCCACCTTGATGTAAGCGGCTATAATGTCGATGTAGAAGGCGGGGTGAGAATTCTTCTGTACTAGTAGTGCAAGATAGACGATTAATGAAAGAGAGTACATCGCTGACGACTCGATCAGCATCTCGATGAGTTTGTGGGACGTGCTCATCCCTGGAGCGTGTCGAATGAGACGGTAAACAATTAGGATTGTGCACGTGAGGGTTGTGGAGAGCGTCAGGAGGATGTATATCAACGGCCAGTTAATTTCGGTGACGAAGTGGCTGGTCCCACTGATATCGGGGTTGGTGGACTCACGGAAAGTGCTGAATATTTCCATGGCCTTCATGGCTGAGATGCTGAGTGAAGGCATGTCTGGGAATGAAGAACGGGACTTACCCGTCCCGGCTACCGCGAAAACCATTGGTACAAATATCACTCGCCACTGGCGATTCCAGAGGATCCAGCAACGCCATATCTAACCACAAGTCAGTTATTCTTGATTGACTGACGGAATGAGATGGCCTACGATAGTGATATCGACTAAAAGCGTGGTTGTACCACCGGCGACGCTACCGATGATGTTATATGCTCTCCACCACGGCCCATTGTCTGCCAGCGCTGTGAAGACAGTGTAATAATTGTTGCCATGTCCGATAAATGCGCGGCGCTTAAAGACCCAGTCGATCGCGAACTCTATCGTGGAGAGAACGTAAAGCGTGATGATGATGATATGCAGGAATGTAGTGCATAACTTCTTCGGAGAGGAGGCTGTAGGGAGATTTTATCAAATTGGTCCGGTCAGGAATGTGAGTCGGCATACATATAACCCGTAAAGTGACTGCTATTATGCCGGTGTATAGGCCTGTGAAGTGAACTTTTAAAAGAGATATTTCCGTAACACAGAATGGCCTCACCGTGTACCAAGGATTGCAGAATAATGCAGTTCAGAGATATGTTAAGTCCGTCAAAAATGACGTTCCTATCATTTTGGGAAAGGTCTGGCAGAGGAGCCTCCATGGCATATAAACAAGGAGGCATGAGCATCACCACGGTCTCATATACCCTGCTGCTGAAGAATTTGATGGAATACTAAACGAGAGAAGAGGACGGCATGAGAACGAACACTCCACGCATCTCAATACTTTGGCCTCATTTGTGGCAGCACAGACATCGGCGGTGACCCCAGAACAATCACTGCGACATGATATCTTACCACTATTTTACAGCTTTGACCTGTCACGAAACATCCAGAGCTCTGAGGTATTTCAAGAAGATGTGGACCATACCTCAACAAGAACCTGTGTTGATAAATACGCTGTATGGTAAGCTCGCGGTTACGTGCTATGAATGTACAATATATAATCATCATATGAGTGGCAAAACGAAACCTCATCAGTGATGAAGCCACAAGGATCGTAATGCACAGCTGTCCACAGAACAGCCTTCATCTCCTGCTTGATCAACATTTGTTGGAATCTGAGAGAGAATTCGAGCAATCCGGCATTCCGGCATGCTGAGTAAGGAAAGCATCTGAGGGAAATTGAAGGAATTAGGTAGAAATTACTAGAAAGGGTGTAGTCTAGTATAAATATGAGAAGTCAATGGGGAAACTCCTCAGGAGTTTGTAACCCAAAAGTCTTACAAGCATGTACTCTGGATACAGGCCAAATCTTAACAACATTTGTTCTGACTTGTGCGACATCAGCCCCCTCAGGAAATTTGAAATTAAATAACTGAAGCGTTGATGTAATGTGAGTCACGCGATTCGAATTTCAAATTATCTCCAGTGCTTTTTCCTTCCTTTCCACTGCGTACGATCAGTGCCTGCTCGCCCTCCCTCCCACAGGCCCGCTGGCGCTCCCAACACGAATAGCACGAACAGGAAGCGTTTGATTTCCGATGACACGAATGCACCGCTGACTGGAATTTAATGAACAATGGTCGCCAGGTCAAGAAATGTTCAAGGCGGCATTGGCAGCATTTGTCGATATGCTATTGGATATCGTACTCTCTGTACGTGGTTATATGCGCATTTGTCTTGTTCTACGAGCTCATCCATGCCATAGGTATTTGTACTGTTGGATCCTCTGGACCTGCTGCATCTAGCGCGCCTATCGAAGGCCCTCCGCCGCGTCCTGATGTCAAAATCTTCCATTTCGGCGTAGACCTCTGCTAGAAGAAACATCGTAGGATGCTCTGAGTCGCTTCATGGCCTAACTGAGCCCGCTTGGTCTTTGTCCCCATCTGCCATGTATGTCGTTTTCATTTTGATGGATATCTTTGCTCAACGTCTCTGTAGTTCTGCTATAGAGCATCAGTGAAAACACCGCAGCTTGTGTTCTTGACGCGTATATGCATTGTGTGTATACCACTAGAGTGAGCCCCAATGTCTTCATTCCCAAAAAGTCAGCTTATACTATCGTCTTAGCACGCTCTCCACTGTTGATCTCCAACGCGATCCGGAATGCGCTCGAACTGATGCACGGACACTGCTCGTAGCGACCTTTTGCCTTTGAGTACGTCCTGTAGTCATCGTTTTTACACAATGCCCTGACCACTTTCTAGAGCATGGTGGAAAGCGTCGTCCGAAGAAAACATGCCTGGTGCGAAACTATGAAGAGATAAGATATGTCAGGCTTTGCTTGCCTGTAGTACCGAAAACGAGCGCAACATGCTCATGCAATCTAGATCAAATTCTATGGCTTGCTTGCAAGAGGTCTGTGTCTGTTTCGCTGTCGTTGCCTGTTTCCTTATTGATCTTCTTCTTGGCAGAGGGTATCTGAGTGCTCTTCTTGGCTCTCGCGAAAGCAGGTCGATAAGGACAAGGAGATCTAAAAGCTGAAAGGAGATCGCCTAGGCGTGAGTTCCTTTCGCTGTATTCGAAGATGATCCTCATTTTCCCACTAGTATCCAATAGAAACTTGTGGACCTGGGATATGGACCGGAATTGGCGGTCCTGCCTAGTATAGATGTTCCTGCGATGCATAGTGTTGTGAACCATACTTGGCCTCTCACCGATCAAAGTGTGTTGCTTTTTCATACGCCGGGTATACCCATTAACACGATTCTTCTCCAGTCTGGACCAATATCCAAAGGGTGATTGTCAAGTACATGCAAGCAATGAAAGTTAAATGCCTGGCTCGAGAACACCATGAGCTTCTCGAAAGTCGGAGGAAGCTCGCTATCGATTACCTTCGTATGTGCAAGACCCTGGCTCCGAGTACCCTCTTCCCTCTGATGCTCGACTTCTTCGAACTGCCTCCAATCCGAAAGATCATCCAGCTGCCGTCGAACGAAACAGTCACCCGAGGCCACATTCATCGACTCACGGTACTCTGGGGAAGGACTCCCTCTCGGCTTAGGAGGAATTATCCCAGGTCCCCTTGCTCAGAATGTTCTCGTTTTTTTGCAAGGACTACACGATCTTTTCGCATAGCTTGAACCGGCATTACCGGAAGATCAAGCCAGTGTATATCAAGCTGCTATTCGACCCCGAGACCATGTCACATTCTTGCCTCAGTTTAGGGGGTACGACTATCGCGCCGACAACGGCGAGCTCCGGCGTACCGCAGATATATCCATATATCCATTCGTGTTCCGTGGAGCACGACCTGCCTCGAGAGCAACGACCGAGTCCCCGAGGTCGTCAGTGCTGTCATCAACTTTGTTGGTGGAGATCCCGAGATGGCCACCGCCGAGGACCTGGCTGATGCCATCAGGAGAAGTACGCGCATGATGGAGCGGCACCGGTCCCTACATTTGAACTTCACGGGTGGAGAGACTTTGTAAGCATCCCTTTTGCTTGTCCGTGCATCTATTGATTACATCAAGGTCAAGCATGTCCTGATAGAGCACTATGAAGACACAACGCCGCAGGAAGACTACGTGAAACTTATCAATCCTGATATATCTGGGCGGACGACTGGTTCATACTGGAGTCAGTGTTCGATGGGGAGCGTGGGGCATGATTTTCTCCCTGAGCAGAGGAGTGCGCGGACCACGGATAGGATCGCCATCGCCCCGGAGGGACATCCGTTGCGAGCTACGGTAGGGATGGGGTCGCCTCGCTCTTCCATTTTGGCTTGGTTGTCATCCATTTTCTTGCCATACAATAACAGTTCCTTACCGGGCTTGTTTTGAAAGATGAGCGTGCAAGGAAAAATCCTAGAACTTTCAATCACACAAAGGTGGCGCTCGGAAAGTCATGGCCTTCCTCCAATACAACAAACAGGTTTTATGGCTCAATAATCATATTCTAAATCAAAGTCTTTCACACACTACCTAACGTCTCAAGAGTCTCCTCCTGGTATTGCGCTCAATAGGCTGGTTGTCACTGAGCCAATTGATAGACTCGTCTGACCACTTATAACAGTGTACATCCTCATAACCCGTAATTCTTGAGACGCCCTCAGCGCAGCGTCAAAGTATACATAGTCTATCCCGAACGGCCCAGCGAGCGACCATCAACTCATTTTCTCCGTGCTCTTCTTTAACTACAGCTTTGATTTGTTGCTCATACTCCGACGTCCAACCCCCACGATTGATTACCGGTGGCAAGTAAGACAGACGTATTTATCCTCGTCGGGTGTGAACGCTGAAATCGTCGCGAATCTTCCCTTGCGCGTGACTAGAGAAGCGTCTCGGAGTACGTTTTCATCTCTTCCTGATCTCTCCAGCGCCATCTTATTCTGTGAAGATGATATGGTGCCGCTCATAGAGGCGCTGTGCTGCTCGTGGGACTCGCGTCGTTTGTGGTGAGTGACTTTGGCATTGGGGCGGGGGGCAAAGGAAGAAATTCGGCAGACAGATTTGCTTTTTATACTGTACTATCGGGACTGGCTGTTGCTGGGACATTATAAAGGGGGGGGGGGTGGATTTTAATTCACGTTTTAAAGAGAGCGCAGACCGTGCCTGCCCAGAAACGAGATAAGAAGTTAGGAGAAAAGTGAAGAACAGATTTCTTTATGATATGCACCATCATTTTCTTTCTATATGGAAGCCTGGCGCTGGGCTTGTACATAAGTGGGTATATCTACTAAGAGAGAGAATACAACTTTCTGAGGACAAAACTAAAATTATAGGGAAAAGCAGCAGGAGGGAACGGTACTGGGGGGGACATTAACCACGCATATTATTGACGGTAGTCTTTTGACCCTCCAAATCTTCTGTGGCCGAACTATACTCCTGTTCTTTGGCTTTGTATGTACCCCTGGCACGATACCATTGCCGCAAAACAATGAGAACTAGGAGAAGAACTGCGATGCCCCATACAATGTCGAAGCGAATACCTGTATTACCCGAGGTACCGTCGCTCGTCCGTTCGAATAATGCACGTTTACTGTTTCGAAAGTATCAGCAAGAGCTAACGGACGTGGAAGAATGCGAATACAAACTCATCTGGTCCAGTGTTGTGAATGACGGTGGGGAAAGAGAACTTCGGAGTGCTTTGTGTGCTTGGGTTGTTTCCCATTGTGAATTGGAAGACTAAGACGTAGAAGCTACTAGCAAGAAATAAGTCTGCGTGCTTGTCCGAACTGTGGGCAACGTACTTTGGTTGCAGTGAACTAACTACCTTGCAAAGGTAACGGCACTTGATGATGCCGTCTGCAGCCCGATGCGTAGGTTTTATACGGATTGGAAAAGATACAAAGGAACAGTCACGGATCCAGTAAGCCTGCCTGGAGGGAACTCAGAAAGAGATCAACATCCAACTAACGACGGAACTGATATCAACCTTTAGTTGTTCCCAGCGAGACGGACTTCATGTAAGAATATGTTCCACTTTGTTGAACTCCCATTTTCCAAAGGTTTTTTTTTAGACGAGACGCGCAAATGGATCCGTTACTCTACGAAAAGAATAAGAGTAAGGACATGATAAAGATAATGTGTAACAGATATTCCAAGCCGTGTGGGGGCATCATAGTATTTAAAGGACATCCAGGACGGTGTCAGAGAATGCGAGATACCAGTCACTATGAGCGCCAGGTTACCCGGAGATTTATGTTCTGATAGCTCAGATTATGATCCGAAACTACCGGTAGGCAAGCTGGATAGTGCATATCTATATCTGCAAGTCATTTGGGTGCCTGAATTAACGGTAATTTGATGATTAGCTGAAAATCAAATGATACATCACATCAAAGATATTAATGGCCGGTGAGTAATATAAACTAGACTGTCGCTTCCCTTGTATCGTTATATGTGGACAGAGAGCGACGGCCGTTAGGATACATGATATCAGGCAGAGGGACAGGCGTCAATGCCCGGACATTGTGGTAAAACCGGTACGAACCGAGGTGTTGCAACCGTAATCGTAAGAATGGTCCAGGAGATGAAAGAAGTGGATACCCGGCCTAGGTACGGTTAAAGATAGTAGTATAAAATCTGCTTTTCCTGATATGCGATGGCCAATCTGCAAGAGAATCTTTTGTTTGTACCTGTCACCTAAGATATTTGGGTCATGCTGGTGAGTGACTGATAGTCAATGGACCACCACAGAATGGCGGGCAGATGATTTCAGTTGATCAGTGCAGACCATGTCAGCAGCTACGCACCCAGAAATAAGATAGATGGATATATCAAGCTAGGGGAAAAGTGAAGTTCCTTTGGCCTTAGGGTACAGTGTGCTATATTTGGTACAGATCATCGCAAGTGCCCACACTCGTCAGATTCGACCGTCGGGTGCTGTGCATTACTCAGCTGGTTTTCTTTTCTTTGCTTGAACTTTCTAGTATATTCTCTAAAAAGTAGTATAAAAAACTGTATGTAGAACAGAAAACCCTTCTGCATTTTCCTTCAAGGATTCCCTGTTACTTGGTAATTTTCTTCCTTATCCAACATACAGTACCTGCGGAAGGCTACAATTGGCTTCGCGTCGGTCGTGGGTGAAAAGAAAGATCGGGCCGCTCAGGCGGTGGCTGTGTCGAAAAGAACATGCCGGACCGCGGCTCCTGCTCATCTAGTCTTAGTTTGCAGCATCCTGCGATTGGTGTCGAGCTATTTTCCCTGTGTTTCTCAGAAGGTTCATTACTTCATATTCCTTTTCCTTGTGGGGTGATTGACACTGTCACCGCAGCCTGTAACGTCACTGAGAAGCCTGAGCTATTCAACTTGCCGTAAAACAAAATGATGTTTAGCGATCGTTCTTCACCCAGACCATTTCGATTAGGTTTCCCGAACATTATGTCCTGCTTTCCGGCTGTGTGATGTACGAAACATCATTTTCTTTCTGTATGGAAGCCTAGCGCTGGATTTGTTCATAGGTAAGTATATTCACTACCAAACGAAACTTTATCAGACTAAAACTAAAAAAAAAAACTACGGGGAAAAGCAGAAGGGAGCCACGCTTGGAGGGATATTATCAACGCGCATTGTTGGCGATATTCTTTTGACTCTCCAAATCGTCTGTTGCTGGACGATGCTCCTGTTCTATGCCTTTGTATGTCCTCCTGTCACGATGCCATTGCCGCAGAACAACGAGAACTAGGAGCAGAACCGTGACGCCCCATAAGATGTCGAAGCGAATACCGGTCCTTGAGGTGCAGTCATTGTTGTCACCGGGCCAGTCAAACACAGATCGTTTACTGTGAAATAAATAGTGAGAGCTAACGCAGGCAGAAAGAGAGTGAGCACGAACTCGTTGTCTGGATGGTAGTCGTGAATGGTGCCGGTGTAAGAGAACTCAGAGGTGCTTTGCGAGCTTCCCATTATGATATTTAGTCGAAGAGCCTAGTACGAAGTGATAAATCTGAGAATTATAGCAACGGGAGACAATGTACCTTGCTTGCAGTGAAGAATCTTGGCAAAGGTGGTGGAACTGTACGACGTCGTCTCCGATTCTGCAGAGGTTTTATAAGGCTTCGGGAAGATGCAAAGGGACAGTCGCGGATTCAGTAAATGTGCCTGTAAGAAACACAGACATCAAAACAATGCGCTGCGCAGAGTTGATATCGGATGTCAGCCTGAGTGTCAGAGAGTGATGGATGCATACTCTATCGCAATTAATGAGCTAAAACATCATTTTATGCATTAAATTTAGAAGTAATCCTAATGGACATTAGGTCAAACAAATGCAACGAGGTACGGTCGATACATACCGCTTGGGTCTAAGATGATCCTGGGTCTTCTTTTTTTCTTTTCCTTTGCAAAGAAGGCTCTGGCTGATAGATACCCATGTTTTCCTGTGCAGAAATCTTCATGATGAAAGAGGATCAGAAGCTTGATATTCACCATATACTCACCATGAAAACGAGGTTCCCCACGTGGTGGCTGTGCCGATCGCTTAGGACTCCGCCTCGACGTGACTGTTTGCTGTGCTTTTCATGCCTGTTTCAGCGCGTCTCTCCTTGATTCCCTTTCCCTGGCCATATAACTTAATGCATCGAGGAACGAGTCTCTAGAATCTTTTTTTTTTCTACAGTGCGCTGGCACGGCGGCCCCTGTTCGTTGTCCAGTTTAGTTCCGTCGTATCATTTCTATGCATGCATAACTGAGAAGAGATGTTTGCATAAGATAAAATAAAGGGTAAGTCAAGAAGTCCATTGAATTCGCTCCTTGATCATACCGGACCTAGACCCTCGACAGCGAAAGGTGCATCGTACCTTATTTACGTTGTCCCTTACCAAAGTAAATCACTTAGAATCATGATATACCGCCAACGGGCTACGTTTGTAATTGTAGCATCCATCAGCATCCGATCCCGTAATTATAGTCTCTACGGTGAATGGGCACCCTTCGGCTTTGGTTCTCTTCATGGCGGTTCTAGTCCCAATCCAAAGATACAGTTCCTATCTACCCATACGGTGACCAAGCGCTTATTTTCTAAGGTGGTCGGTATTTCAGGGCAATGGAAAATGCTTCATCAAAGCGCTGGAACTGATCTCCATGATACGTTGTAGGACTGGAACATGACGCCACCGTTTCCAACTGGTGAAACGTCTCCGGTGATTCCAGTGATCGCCACATTTTTTGATCCCTCTGGGTGTGTTATAGAGTCTACATATATTAAGAAACTGTCAAACACCCTGCTCTACAAATTTCCATGGAATCTCCCCCAGCTGACCTTTCTCCAGAAGATAGGAAACTCATATTTCGCAGTCTTGACCTAAATCTGAATCATACAATTCTGGAATCATTATTGCAGGGTGACGCCGTTATTCTTGGTGCTTCTCTTCTATTAAAGTTCATATATGGTCATAGGCTTGTATACCCTTCTCATAGCAATCACTCTATGGACCATATGTTCGTCTCTCTTCTTCGATTGACCCATAGGCTAATCTAATGTCTCATCCAGTTTCCTCTCCCAAGAAATCCGGACATACCTTCCTGCCTACAGTCATTTTGATTCTATACATTCTCACGACAATTTCTTATGGGTTTGACTGGGCGTACCAGCGGCGCGCATTCATTGAGAACGGGGACAACTTTTTCAGTATCTTTGTTGCGCTCCAGAGTATCAGCCCGTGGTGGAGAGCATACGAACTCGTTGATGGTATTAGCGGTGGTATGAGCACATTTCTCGTCGACATCACCATTGTATGCCTTCTCTTCTTTCTTCGTCAGTCTAAGCTTACATACATCTCTTAGGTATGGCGTTGTTGGGTGCTTTGGGACCGTCAATGGAGGATTGTCCTTATACCAGCTCTTTGCACGGTAGCCGGGACAAGTAAGTGCCCTCATAGCTGTCATTACTTGCGGTCTGATCAAAGATCGTAGTCGCAAAGGCCATGCAAATCCGTAGTGTTTTCATCAACACAACCAGCGAAATCGGCGACACCGGAGGCTTCGTAGCAGAGATCAACTGGCCACTGATCTATATCTCCTTGACACTGGCCACGACACTCCTGTGTACCCTATTGATCGTCTACCGCATCGTTCGCCTGGCATCAGGAGTGGGCTCATACGGGAAGATTGTCGAGATTGTGATTGAATCCTCAGCGATGTATTCACTGACACTGATTGTGTACCTGGCCCTGGTTGCGAGAAATCTGCAATCGGGCTATTATGCAGATATCATTATGGCATATATCAAGGTGAGGGGCCGCTGTGCGTGCTTTATTCTTTCAAGGAGCTGAAATTTCTGTGCCACGGCAGGTCATTGCACCTACGCTCCTCGTTGGACGAGTCTCAGCCAGTTCGAATTCAAGCTCTAACAGTCAGACAATAGTCCATTCCACAAAGGACCGTAGCTCTGTGTTGAGCAGATTCATAGCAAGAAGGCGAGAGACGGCTTCCATTTATCGGAATGGCAACGATTCCACTACCTCGTCGCAGACTTATTATAAGCCGAGGATGGATAATGTCTAATACTGAAGCCTGCGGCATTGACAGTGGTTATTATTACACTTTGTAAATTAAGATTACGTTACCTGTGAGCGATCCTTGATATTAATAGAATGCAATGTAGCCTGGAACAATTATCCTTTTATTTCCGTCTATTCAATCAGAACCACAAGGAGTCTTGTTATAGACGAATATGATCACATTTCCCCTCTTCAGATCTTCTGTAGCCGAACTAGCCGGTTGGCAAACTTTGGACTCGAATGCTGTGAACCTATGCCGCCGATGACGCCACCAGCCTCTGAACACTACGACCTACGACTATGATGAGCCCCGACAATCCCCATACGAGAGCGAGCATCAAATTGCCTGGGTTACGTGTCTATCAGCATTAGCTTCTGTTTGAAGAGAAGAGAGAGGCATACTACGGGAAGTCACTGTAAAGCGCTTCACGTTTTCTGCTTAGGAAATTAAGGTGAAACTGCGAAAAGAGATACCGTAATAAATGATGTACCCTAATAAGGATACGGATCGATTGATATATCCGGACGATACCTGAGTTGTGTTGGTCCCCAACCTCCCTTTAGAAGCGATGGAGCCAAATGGTTCAAATCCGCCACTGATTTTGTTTCCCACCCTAGCTTCAGAGATGTTTGAATGAATCTACGTTGAAGCGCAAAGTGAAATGAAGGAGTCTGCTGCAATGCAATGAGGATGCACACCACAGTATTTTGGCTATGCAAAAGTTACGCACTATTATGATGCTCAAGATGAGTAATTGATGAGTAAATTGGTCGCGGATATCACTTATGCTCAATGGCCTATAATTAGCTGCTGGCAGTTCCCTTGCCGTCGCTAACGGATCTTCGGAAAACCTGACGAAGCGAAGATACCGTGGTCGCCAGTCGGCGGTGATTGGAAGATATTCGGAGCCCTGGCACGGTCCGGTGCCTCCGGGATCACGTGTTGCATGGCCGGAGATGCCTGCTTGTCCGTAGCTGCAACTGAGACCATCGCTAGCCGTTGCCGATTCCTAGCGATACGGTTCCAATATGTCTTAACTTGCGAAATTTTGTCGTACAAGCGCTCATTTTATCAGACTTCTGTCATTCTATTTGTATTCTCGGGGACTTCGTATATCGTGGGACGCCCTTGTAACTAAACAGAATGAGTTTCATATCGAAGTCTACGCCATGTCAAGAAACGCATCAAGGGCCTTTTCAGGATCATCCCAATGCACCTAATAAAGGCAGCATAAGTTCGGGATGTACGACGATATTACTCCACGGACAGACACGCACAAAATGATTAGCCCCTTTGATAATCTTGTGATGGAATTCCTTCGCACCCGCTCCCCTTAGCTTCTTCGAATCGTCCTGCACAGCCCACAAGCCAGCAATACCAAAAGCACACGTCTTGTCTCCACAGACAAACGATCTCCTCATATTCGGAAACACCTCCGAGTCCAAAAAAGCTTTCCGATACGCGCCCAGAATCTGTTTCGAGAAAAAGAACAAGAACGGCAGATCCGTCGCTGCATCCTCCCCATAGCGCTGAATCTCCAGAGGCACACCGTTGAAGAATGTGGGCGCACGAGAAGGGGAGGCCAAAACCCAGGACAGCTTGTCAAGGTCACGCCCCACGATGTCGGTATGGTCAAAATAAGACGTGCACCACTGCACGAACGCGGCTAGGCGGAGGTTCTCCGGAACCGTGTTGTCTACGAGGAACGTCCAGTTCTGCTTAAGGGTGGGTAACCCTAGTGCGGTTGGGGCGGGTTCTGTCGCGGATTAGAGTTTGAGTAGGGAAAGACAAGGCCGAGGCGTACCGTAAAGAATTAAGGAACGCATGTAGTCACTTAGACGACTGAGGACGTCCTGTGGAAGTGAATCGACGCTTGATATTGCCATAGGAGCAAAGGTCGCGCCGATAGACCATCCAAGGAATGCGACCCCACCACCGCTCGAGATCGACGGAAGCTTGAATTTCTGTATGAAGATATCAATGAAAATAGCAATTTCATGCCCTCGAGCCTCGACTAATGCCTCTCGCTGAGAATCGTCAGTACCTCCAGTTTCAGTGATTATGAGTTCCTCCACGGAGAGTAGCGTCGAACCAGGAAAGGGACGCCTATTCAGCGCGACAAAGCGCACGCCTTTGGATGGAGCGAGATCTATCACTCGCTGGAAAATCTCTGGAAATGTGCCATAGGGGGAATGCTCAAAAAGAGAACAGGACGGTACTGACCCTTGGTAAAGATCATACCATGAATGGCAAAGATAGTGATGTACGACGGCTGGGCAGGCGCGCCGCTGTCAATGTAGGATAGCTCGACGCCGGCCGATGTATTAACTACGAGAGTGTTTAGTATCATGATATGGTGAGGATTACTGATAGGATTGAACAGACCGCCCATAATATATTATCAGCCTGGTGAAAATATGGACCCAGAGTGAAATTCTATTTGATGGTGAGAAGGCGGCAATCACGCTGGACCTTCTGACCGCGTGATGGCGGGCGCTGTCGTCGAATTTTGCATACGGTCCAAATCGTCGGAGACGCCAAAAGTACGCCTGTCATCGCCAAAGAATAAACCTCCGGCTATGTAGGTATTGAGAGGTGTGTTTGACTCTCCAGTAAAACTTACTGCGATGGATAGGCAGATAATAGCCGTCCCGAGATGGCCACTTGCTGAATAGCCGCTCGGGCATATCGCTATAGGGTTCAACTAAATGCTGAAAGGAAATAGAGAAGGTGCAATAGAACATCAAGATTCCGGGTGTGGCTAGAGTTGGGAAGGGCATGGTAAGAGTAATGGATGAGTACAGCATGAGGAGCTATATCATGACAGATCAAACCAACGTTCAAAGTTAGAAGCTCGGGATTCTCATGGGTGCTGGGGTAAATCAAGGAAAGGAGCTATTGCCGCAGTTGATGCAGACTACTCTTCCATTCCTCCAGGATCACAGGCAATGTTCTTCCTCAACCACGACGTTTCAGTAAGCCAGAATTGACAAAAAGTTTGGGCATTAAAGCAGAAAGCAGTCTGTCTAGATAGGCAACTGAAAGAGGCTGAAGTTTTCTCCGTGTAACTCTTGCGGGAATCTGAGATCACTGAGCGATGTAATAAGTATCCGCGCACAAGGGCAAGACATCTGTGCGATGAATGATATCGATTAGACAGCGCCTTCATCACCAATGTGATATAGCTTCCAAGGGGATTATAAACTGCGTTCTGTAATATCATGCAGCATGATTTATATGGTCCAATTATAAATAGAAGGATATCAAAAACTGACATCTAGATTAACAACTTTTCTCATACAAGATTCATGAACGCCTCCAAACCCAACGATATACGATCTAGCCATCCAAGGTCCTGCACCTCTACAAAGACAAAATGCACCGAAATAAATTTCGAGACAGTGACGCGTATAGCCTGTATAGGTACCATCAAGATGCGGCCACAGTCTAAGATAAAAGGCATACCTGATTTATTTTTACTCTTTCTTCATCATACTGGAACTTGAAATGTTTTCTACTCAGCCGAGTTCACGGTCGAGAGCCATCCAAAGCAGTACCATCAGTTCGGATTATCGAGCGAATAGGTGGCTGGCTGATCCTAGGTTGCAAACGAATAAACATGAATCAAAGAGAAGGAGAAAAAGGCATGCGTTCACCTATATATATAAAATAGCCACGCTGAACAAAAGTGACAGGGCACAAAATATCCAATATCCGAGCTATGCATGGTTGGTATCGTACATACGAAGGGTCCGTCCAAGCAAGAAAAGAGCCATCGAGGGTTCTGAGCAAGTCCTGAGTACTTTATTCAAGTCATGTAGCGACGGAGTAACAGATCCATACTACAGCTTGACGTCTGAATCTGCAGTGTTACATATAACACGTGCTGTATATGCACGAAGTACGCGCAGGGATAGGGGTACAGTAGGAGAGGCAGTCCAGGTAGGTCCTGGCAAGAGGAAAGATAGGCCATAACTTTGATTCATGTTTGCCTTCGCCTTCCCGTGTCGCATGTAGCCGCCGGCTCTCCAGGCGCCTTCGCTCAACTTTCGTTTTCACCCCATACATAGCAATGGTTCCTGTTTCTCCATCCACTTCATTGGTATAAAGCTCCATTATAACGCCCAAGCCTTCCGCAGGCTTAAAGCACGGCAATTTGGCCCGACCCATGGCAGCGGTAACAAATTAAAGCTTCTCAAGCTCAACTCAAGTTTCAGTTTCTTACGGACCAGGCTCAACAAAAATCTACACGAATCAGTTTTCTATTACTAACTCAAAGCTTCCAGTCTAAGAAAGTGACGCGCGTTCATATCACCTAATAGAGTACACTGTTAGCTATAATGTAGACCTCATACAGCGTAGCGATAAGCAGAAACGCGGTGAGGGTGCTCGACGGACCGTATTCAATATATATAGTCCATCCCGACATAAGGGGGTATCGAGCTCGGCCGGCGGGATACGACGGAGCTCCTGCTTGCTAATCCAACATCCAGTTCTGCGAACATCCAGGACTTGCACATCGTATGGTACGTGACATGGGATATCCGTGACCTCACTGCATTGTCTTGGTGTTTCATTTGCTGCGCACAATAAAGTTTTTGAACTTCGCTGAACGCCACTCTCGAAATGCTGCAATATGGCACCTTTTAGGACAGTCTGGGCCAGTCGAAGCACAAGCGTTGGAAATTTGACAAAGGAGCAATCTTTGTCTTTATCATTGTCCGTGCCCTATATATTAGCGCTGAACTTTCACAGCGCTCATGTTCTTCCACCTTTGCCAGTATTTTCATTTCTACGAGGTATCCCATCGGTTATAAGCCTCCATATTCCTGCTGAATCCGTATCACCTTCCAGGAGCCGACCTTGATATCATGACCAGCGAAATTTCTTGTTCGATCTGTGGATCTAAAGGCGAATGTGAGGTGAACCATGGAATAAAAATGCCCCAGCTAACGATGGTTAGGCCCTCAAAAGGAGCAAATACGTGTTAAAGAACCTTCCGAGCGGGAACCAATCCAGAACTTTGGCGATTTACCTGCAAATGTCCTAAGGAAGATCTTCCTCCTCCTCCTGGATGAAAACGGGTTTAACTTCAGCGACATCATACAAGGACCGTGGGTATTTACATACGTATGCAGCTCCTGGAGAGCCGTTGCTCTTACCTATCCTTGCTTATGGTCCAATATCATTGTCGACCATTCCTCATTCCGCGCACATAAGAGTCACATCGTCTGGGCTCCGATGTACTTGAAGCAACCCTTTCCTCATTCCATCATTCATGACCCTCTCTCCCTGCTCTCTACCGTCCTCTCACGGGCTGGCGCCCATGACCTCTCCTTACACGTGGACTTCTCGAAAGGATATATCAACCCATACGAACGATTTATCATGCGGTTGCTTCTCTTGCGATTATCCCAAAAATCAAACCAGTGGAGTATTGTCTTCCTCCATTTACCACGCAACATGGTAGACGGCCTTTTTGGTATTTACCGCCAGCTTCCGAAGCTCATAAGCCTGCATCTCGCGATAAGCACATGCGAAGAGGCGTGGAAAGATGACATGATCACGGCGTTTGAGACAGCGCCGATGTTGGTGTTCGTTACATTGCAAGGACTGTCGTTCACCACCTGGATCTTGCTTCCATGGCGGCAGCTTGTGTATTTCTACGACGACCGAAATTCACAATATATTTAGATTCCAGGTGACGCCGGTAGACAAGGAAGAATGGATCCTGTATCCCGTGAAATAAACAAATATCATGTTTTAGCGAGAGACATTTCCCGTCGTTAGCAAGACAGTCTGATGATGGTAGGAACTGAATACTGATGCCCCCTCTTTCACTTTTACCACCACCACCACTGGGACGCTTACCGTATTGTCTGAAATGTATTTTGTTCGTAAAGATGGAAGAAGGCGAAATGTGCAAAGGTTACTTCCCTACCAGTGTGTATTTTAACACTCCAATGCATCCTTCCAGAAACCCAAAGTGAAATCGAGTCTAATGTCCGCACTGCCATCTGATGTAATGAAGGTCTCATACGTCTCCTACATTCTGGGCAAGTAGGCCTAGAGAAAAGAAACGAAGCTGATGTCACAGCCTCGGATTGCGAGCCTTCCACCAAAATTGCTTAGCGAAATATTCGCTCTCGCATTAGGAAATGATTTTTTCAATCCGTCACATACCCAGACCGGTCCGTGGGCACTCAGCTACGTATGTCGTTCATGGAGATCTGCGGCATGTAGTGATTCTGCGCTCTGGACGTCTATCATTATCGATGACAGCTCTGTCCATTGATATGCAGGCTACATGTCCAGCCCTATAATTTGCAAATTCTGCATAACACACTAGAATATGCTAGTAACTGAGAATCATTAGCCAGTAAAGGACTATGGCTGAGGCTCC